TCCTTCTCTACAGCATTCTTCTTCCAACGACAATGTTCATCTACAACGGCAAACTCAGCTGGTTTCACCTGGTGGAAAAGGAAGATTTCACTATTGTGGTTCCCGCTGGTTTCGCTCAAAAGGATCCCATTTGCGCACACTGGCAGTGGACCATCGATCCCAGTAATAGCAAGGGGAAACAAAATACCTCTCGCGTAGTAATGTTTTACATCGGCCCTATCACGTTCATACCACCACCGTGCTGACCCTCTTATCCTTTCGTAGTTCAGCATGATCAACAATATCGTCAACACAGTCGCCGACGAATACAAATTCAGTTTCTCTTTCGGCTACTACAGCTTCGACGCTGTGGTCTCTCGTGACTTCAGAACCCTCAGTACAACGATGCGAGACATTACAAACGATCGCTCTGGCCCTCACACTCTGATACTTCAATACAGCGACACGTCTCGAATCCCTTCCACCGTCGTCTACACCGGTAAACTCGACTGGCTCCACGAAGCTGTAAACGAAATGATCACCCTCGTCATACCCTCCGGTGTCTCTGCTCTGACTAACGGATCATTTGTGGGCATGTATCACCAATGGATCGTCGACTCCGCCGGTAACAAGAAAGGAAGCCATCCTATCAATTCCACTTTCGATGATGTGTCGACCTCGTCGGACGGCGACATCACGGGCACGTTTTCGGACGGGAATCGGTACTGGGGGAGCGCTACCTGCGGTAGCAGCAACCTTGCTAAAGAGGGAGCTCAAACACGTGACCCCCTATCCTATCCGTGTGCGTACCACCTTTCACGGACGCCCCCTCATGCGCACTGTCCCCGACACACGCCAACACAACCGCCCATGGCGCCAGATTGGACCACTATGCCGACCTATTTGCCAGAAAATGCCTCTAATATTATTGCCATCCAGCTTTTTTCTAATGTATAAAGAACCAACACCGAGACAACACCAAACACCCTAACCCCAACGAGACCCAAACACGAAATTGACCCATTACGAGCAACGACTCCTACAGAGCAAGGTTACGCCTATCGCCGTAACCCCGCGAGAGTCCTGCCCCCGATCCCCTCGGAAACCCCCCCACAAAAATTAGCCTAAACCGAAAAGACCAGTGTCGTCATCCTTCTACGCAACCCGAGCGCGCTTGGAAGACGACCCGCCAAAATCCGCGTCCTTCGTCGGCACGCGCTTCCTCACCACCTTTTCCGTCGACGCCTGCGGAGGTTGAAGAACCCTGATCTTGACGACATCAGCGACGAAGGTGTTGCTCGCTGGAGATGATCCTCGGGTAGGGAAGTCGTAGTGCTTGAGGTTGACGGTGACCACGACAACCGCACCCTTGAGCGCAGACTCGTAGTTCTTAGGAAGGATAAGGTTGCCGTCAACGTCGTACGCGGGCAAGATGTTGAAAATATGGGTCTTCTTCATCGCGGCGAGCTCGGCGATAGCAATGTCCCCATGCACAGGGATGTTTTCGAGACGAAAGGGTTCGTCGATGTCTGGCGACACGAACCGGTCAGAGGCACGGACCAAAGGTCTGACACCGTGAAGAAGAAGCGACACTCACCACCGTCACCACCGCCGACGAACGAATCCTTCTTCTGTACGCAAGAGTGTGTGTGAGATAAGTCAGGAAGAGAACAGTGCGGCACACACTCACCAGGAAGGGCCTATAAGTGACCTTGATGGACTTGTCGCTGTCGAGGGCACCTTTGAACGGGTTCCCCGGCGTCGCAATCGCCGTCGCGAGCTTCTTGACGTTGTTGTATGTTGTTTCCCAGTGCGCGCCGAATGAAGCCAATGGGGGACACAAGAGAGTCGCCGTGCCCTTGGCGTCTGCAAGGCTCTTCGTGAACGTCGTGGGGTTGCGGTACCCGGCGTCAGGAAGAAGATAGTAGCGGCTGTCGCTGATCTGGCCAACGAATGTGATGACGGCGCCGTCAGTCGAGGGGGAGTTGGCGGATCCCTTGATGGCGAGAACATTGTGCCACACACGCCGCTGCCACACGCATTGTCCCTCGGTGTTGAAGTTTTCGTTGCCGAGGTACGTGTACGATCCTTGAAGGTCCTCCAACGCGTACGATAGGTGCAAACCCACACTAGAATGACAACCAAACCGAGATTGTCAGCTCCAACATACAGCTCAGGAACGATGAAGACACTACAACTCAAACTCACCCTGTCGGCGCTGTGGTCGTGTCGGGACCTGCCGGGTGTGCCACAGCAGTCTCCTCACGAAAGCCCCCTGTGGCGACCTCGAAAACCCTTCTGCATGGTCCTATGAGCCTGCGGTGGGAGATGGACATGAAGCCAGGATAGGACGTACTGATCAGTGGCATGAGATATGGCCGCTACGTTGTTCGCGAGAACATCCAGGCTCTCTTCCAGCGCACGGTTCTCCTCAACAGAAAGCCCTACAAGGCTCAAAATGTCAGTCGCCGCGGACGCCAAGCGGTCATATCCATCGTACCTTTCAAAGGGGGAGGCACAGCAGACCCCAACTGCGATGGAGCATCCTCGACATTACCACCTATGCCAATGATGGCCGTAGCCAAGTTGACATCAACATTCACGGCCTCGCCATTAGCAGAAACCACTGCACAAACAGTCAGAGAAGGCCACAACCGACCGCAAAAACATCTGCACACTCACCTTTGACCGGTATGCCTCCCTCGGCAGTTACCACCGTAGCCGCATCACCTTCGCTGTGTTGGACAACAGCCTCCTCAACGCCTGCATCTGTAATAAACGATCAGACACCGCCCATGGTTCCAGATAATCAGAGACTCTCACCATCCCGAGCACAAGGGAGCTTAGGATCGACAGCAACACCAGAATTCGCCTCAGTGGGTTCTACGTGCGCCTGAAAGGACACAAATCATCAGAGATAGGTAAAGAGGGGCAGAAACGACCCCAAACGACATCCCAAACGAACGCACCTGAGCCATCGAGGACTGAACATCTGCCGCAGTCACCATTCCAGAGATAACAGGCACAGTGGTTGGGCCAGCAGCATCAGCCTGTACAGCAGAAAATGAGAACATGAGTGCACGATAAGAGAGAGGGTACCAACGGACCCTAGTCAACCCAGGGGCAGTGTGGACTGTGTTGGAGGATTTACGAGTAACGCGCATGGTGATTAAAGTCGCAGTTTAATGCTGAAGAAGACAAGAGGATAGTCAAGGGGCAAAGGTCTCCCACCGCACACTCCATCTCGACTTTTATGAGCAGGCTTTACGCCGTACACAGCTGACGCACTGAGAGTCGTTCATCGAAGCGCAGACTCCGTGACAGCGCACGCGATCCCCGGACTATGAAAACTTTCACACTCCGCACCTAAACGTATCTGCGAACTCCGTGCAACCGGCGAGCACTGTGCACGCCGACGACCACACGCCGTACGCACCCATCCATCTCAAACCGGCTGCACTGCGTCTTCCCCCAGCAACCCCCGTCTTTCATGGACACTAGAGGTCTGACAACGACCAACCATACCTCTGCATGCACGGCATGACTACCTTTGCACCCTCTCGTCGTATGTCCGTACCATATCCTTGTGCGGACACTCTCCTGACTCCTGAGTGTCACAGAAATGTCCGAAACGACACTCAATTTTTGGCGGCCAATTGCATTCTCCGCTTTACAACACCTGGATCTCTTTGAACTTCGGCGGATGCAGAATGTCGCAGCGGGATGGAGGATGCTGGTGAACCAGTACATTGAGCAGTACATCGACACAAAACTGACGAGGTTCGTACTCCACAGAATGTTCAAATCCCACACAACGACCAATATTATGGACACTCAGCTTTCTGTCCAACCCAACGCGCTTGCGGGCCATGTTGAGTCGCTACCACTCCGCCATCGCTGGTGACGTAGCGCTCACCATAAGCCGCATGGGTACGGATGTAATCGGCGAGGTTTTCACGGCGTTGTCTTTGCTCGAAATATATTGTCCCGTGGGCGGATATCCAGCCGACATCTTTGTCCGTCATCTTGAGCAACAAGAAAGTTATCGAGTTGACGAGATTACGAATACGGACCCGGGCCTCCCACACCCGGAGGACAAAGGACATGTGCTCGTCGTTCGACTCGTACGCCCAGACGGCATGCGAATAGATGTTGTTGTCGCCAGTCAAGCCACGGCCACGCTCCCCCTTCCATTCACGTCGGGTACACATTCCATGAACCTCCTCACCGGCAACTCCTTCATCATCGCCTACCCTCTCCTAACCCTTAACGGCCACACCTGCATAAACCCGATGCAGCCGATCACGGAGCAAGTCATCGCCGACTGCGAAACTCTACAATTGCAGGCTCATACTTTCGCCGAAAACCACCCCGCCGTGACCGGAGGCCTGCAGGCCACATTCTATTGTCCGCACCAAGCCCGAATGATAGGGGACAAAGGATGTCTGGTGGTCGTCTTTTCCAACCCTGACATAGTTTTCACCCGGAAGGTGCTGCATACTACCCGCTGGATGCTAGGTGGTGATAAGTGTTCCTGCTGCTCTCGGAGCAGTGAGACGACCATTGTGAACACCCGCATGCGGGACGACATACCCCTGTACGTCTCTGTCTACACAACTTGATTGTTCACACTGAATACTGATTACGCCCAACCGTTCAGACATACCGCGACGGCGTACCTGTAATCCGAGCCCGGCAAGTCTGACCATCGGCTGGGCGAACACGCTGAAACCTCCGTTTCTTTATCGTATGTCTCTTACGCTCAGGTGCCCGTCCTCCGAATGCTACCTCCACCGCCGCAATATCCCCCCCACCCCCACGCCCTACACACGATGTCGAACTCACTCCTCATAGACACCTACGATATCGTATTTTACCTATGTCAATACACACTCCTTAGAGATCTCCTGTCAATCTCGCAGTGCTCACGATCGCTTCGACTTCTGGTGTCAAGGTACATGCAGATTCATATTCGAAAACAACTCAGGGTGTATTGCGGTGAACCGGACGCGCTACGCTCAGGTCTACGCCAGTTCGGCGCACTTATCAGCGGAGATATGGTATACGCCCTGGCCTTCCACGGCAGCACCAGACACCGCCACGTCTCGAATAGGTCATTAACGATTTATGTCCCGCCCGGGCGAGCGGCATGGTTCTTGCAATTCTTTCGGTCAGAGAAGTACTTTCGAGTTTGTCAAGCCGTAAATGACCACGGGACGGGCGATATCCCATACCTCGAGGAGCTCGGTGAGTCCGTGGCCGAAGTCACCCTGGGTGAAACGTTCTCACACGCCCATCAACCTTCAGATATTCATGAACATGAGTATCGATTGGGCGAGAGAGGGCTCGCCACCGTCACCTACCTCGTAGACAGGCGGGGTCGTCGTGTCGATGTCATCGAAGCAGACGAAGGCGCATCAAGCTATCCACTCGCACACGCGAACACCACCATCGAACAGTCGTTCGCCACCGCCGACTCCATATGCATCGCCCACCCCAAACTCATGCTCACTGCACGAGCCATCGGCAACCTGCGAACGTTCCCCATTGGATCAGCGGAACCCCACCAACTGTGGTCCCTGTTTGTCCTCAGGGGATTCTCGATGCGCTTCTGGCGAGGGGAGCGACAGAGTGGGCCACATGGGCCGGAAATGACACGGATGATTGAGGGCCGGAGGTCGTTCTTTGATGCACACTGTTTCGTACTCCGGTATGATGACGGCGAGGACGAAGCGTACTATAATGCAGCAACGTGGGACTGGGTGAACTCTATCACGAGCCCACACCGAATGGACAGCGGGCCATCAGTGTAGTCGTTGTACATTATACGCTAACGTGTAACTGATGCAGAGTGAACATGTTTAGAAAGCACGAGGAATAGAAGATGACGATGTGGATGGCGTCTCAAGAGCGGGAGGCCCATCTGAACTGGCGCCGTCGTCGTCTCCGTCATCCTCTGAGACAGACGGACTAGCTAATGGCGGCGCACCAGAAGACGAGGTTTCGTACCCGCTGTCGTCAGAGATGGAGGCTGCATCTGCAGAAGGCACGGAGGCCTGTGACATGCGTGAGCCAGGGTCATGTACGAGGCTGAGACCCTTAATTCGCAACAATCACGAAGAACGTACCGTCTGTGACAGGTCAGCCGCCCAAATAAGAATATTCGGGTGCAAAGTCCCTCTGTTCTGATACTCCACGAATCGCTGTTGATAGTTGAGGATGGCGACGGTGGCGGCGTCCACCTGCCCAGGTGGTAGACCGGACAGCTCGACCTGAGGTGCGTCCCCGGGGCGTTCGCTATACACTATCCCGCGCCCACGACGCAGACGGCGTCCCCAAGAAGAAAAGAATTGCCGGCACCCTGTTCGCATGATTCAGAGTAAAGAAGATGTGAGCGGCTAATGCAGAGACACAGAAGAGAACACTCACTCTTCAAGAAAGGACGCATGAGAAGACTGGGTAGGAAGGGGCAAAAATTGAAAGCGGCTCGACGGCCAACCCAAAAGGGAAAGGAGGATTATATACGATGCAAAAAAACCGGGCCGTGGTTACCCGAATGCCCCGTCGGTGCGGACAGCCAGGCTCTGCAGAACCGCGGCGATGCAAAGTCGACGCAAACTCCTCCCGAACAGACATCTCACACCGTACAGCAATGGACACAACCACCGTTCAGCCTCCATCAGCCACATTGGCAGCTATCAATGAACTCACTCTAAGTGAACTTCTAGACTTTGTCCGCACATCAGATGTTTCGTACACAAGGGGTGAAAAGCGCAGCAAGGAGCTGCTCGTTCAGGCCATCACTCGATGCGCATCCCACAGCGATATCGAACAGCTCACCATGAGAGGGCAGGCCATCCGCGCCACAAAGGATGCACGTCGTACGACCCGAAGGCGCCCACGGGAAGACGACGAACAAGACAACGAACGGCGTGTAAGGCCCCGCACGGACGCACTTGCATACCCAAGGCCGCAACACGATCCGGCACTCTTTATGTCGTTCCCCACAGACGAAGAGCGCAGGGAACGTTACCGCCAATTCTACCACGCCACATCCAATGACGCCGTCAGAATGGCGACATGTGCCGTATGTGCCAGGCGTCAACTCGAGAAGGAATCAGGCCTGACGGACGTCGATATTTCCCTCATTCCCCATGCCGACGTCCTCAAACCCAAGCCAGACATCGTTCACCCCGCCCACATCCTCACGCACGGTATGCTCCTCGCGGAGGCTGGCCTCATCCGAGCCCCGGATGGTACTGTCACCGCCACGAGAGTATGTGCGGAATGCCTTCGAGGATTAACGAACCCCTCTGGCGACGCACCCCCAAAGTACTCCCTAGCGAACAATCTCTGGATTGGACCCATACCACTAGAACTTCGCCGACTCACTGCCCCGGAGCAGCTCCTCATCGCCCTCTTGTACCCCCGTGTGTTCGTGTTCAAAATGTGGCCGAGGAAAGCCGAAGGCATACCAGCCGAGAACTTACAACGAGGGATGCGTGGAACTGTCAGCACATTCGAGCAAGACATTGAAGGTATCACCGCCATGACAGAAGGTCGCCTTATGCCGCGTCCCCCAGCCATTCTCGCGTCGGTCATGACGGTCACTTTTATAGCACGGGGCAAGATAACCAAGTCGTGGCTGTACAACACATTCCGGGTCCGACGGTGGGCAGTTCGCGCAGCCCTCGTATGGCTGAAAGCAAACAACCCCAAGTACTACGGCGACATCGAGATCAGCGACGACCACCTCAATCAGTTACCAGAGGACGATGTTCCCGACTCCATTCTTGCAAATGTTCGACAGTCGGACGATATAGGGCTCCTCAATCAGGAGAATGCGGGTTATGTTCCTGCAGAGGACGAGTATGGTGCTGGTAAGTAACAATTGTCTCAGCAATTTCTCGCATTCAATGTGCCCGGTGAGGAACCTACCTAATGTGTCTCTACAGAAGATCCAATCGTGACAGCGGAGACGGGCACGATGGGTGCCAGTCAAACGGCAGATGAAGACCTAGGTGCGTACGCTCACGGCATCAGCATATAACGTTTCATCGCAATAGAAACTGAACGCGAGCACACCGTTGTTTATTGTCACAGGACCGGATGTCATTCCCACCTCGTTCCAAATATCAGGAGGGGTCGACACGTCTCTTTCGAACGTGACCCCCACCGAGATGATGCTCTACGGCCTCGCGAACCTGTGGAAGGAAGGATCAGAAGGTGGATACAGCGTGCGGTACAGCCGCCAGCCTGTCAGTGACTTTGGGCGGCCGCAGCGAGGAGAAAACCGCGCGTACAACGCGAACGCAGGCAACTTTTGGGAGAAGGCTTACCCGTTTCTGTATCCGTATGGGCGCGGTGGCATCGAGGCAGACCGCGAGACCGCGATCTCGTTTGTCGACCACATACGGTGGGCGTTGCAGTACGACGACGGCCGGTTCCGTCGTCACGAAAGTTTCCCTTTCCTGGCCTTCGGCATCGAACAACGCAGGCAGGCGCTCGGAGCGGCGAAGTTGCAGATGAAACGTAAGGACTTCGACCGCGACGCCCACATACTCGCCACCATCACCCAAGACAAGCTTCGGGAAGCGGTTCGTCGGGAGGAATTAGGCCAGGCGGAGACGGACACTGCAATCCGACTCCTCCGACAGCATCTCCGCACAGCGGGTGCACGCGTGCAAGGTTCTGACGCACAACGCTACCAGCTGCGGAGCAAGATATGGTCCACCAGCGTGATGATGGGCCCGCCCACTCTGTGGATGACCATCAACCCGTCAGACCTCCATGATCCAATTGCGCAAGTGTTCGCTGGAGAAGATATCGACCTGGACGCTTTCGTTGCCACAGACGGACCGAGCCAGGAGCAACGCTCAAAGAACGTTGCCGAGGATCCCTGGGCGGCCTCAAAGTTCTTCCATTTCATCATCAACACCATTCTCCGAACCCTATTCAACATCACCGTCACCGGCGGCCATCGCGTTGACAGCGGAATGGGAGTCTTGGGAGAACTGGCGGCGTATTTCGGCACCGTGGAGTCGCAGGGTCGCGGGACGTTACACCTTCATATCCTCCTCTATTTGAAACACTCGCCGTCAGCACATGATATGCAGGACCTCCTCAAGACCGAGGAATTTCGAGAGAAGGTTCGACGATACATACAGCAGACGATTCATGCATATGTTCCGGGCCTCGAGTCAGAACAATCTGTCAAGGCTATCCCCGACGAGAAAGAGATCGCCTTCTCCCGTCCCCCCCATCCTGACAGCGCAACGTATGACGCGGATATCGAAGCCCTTGAGATCCGGGTGGCGCGCGCCAAACAAGTGCATACTTGTCACCGTCGGCGGTGTCTCAAAGCCAACGAAGACGGAGTGTATGTCTGCAAACGCGGTGCGCCGTTTGAACGATCAGAAGATGACTACATCAAAGAGAATGGGGAGTGGTCTGCGAAAAGGTTGTACACGTACGTTAATGCATGGAATCCCGCCATAACCACGAACTGCAAGTGCAACAACGATTGCAAGCTCATCACGAATGGCCATGACACCAAGAACTTGACGTGGTATATCACCGGCTACGCGGCGAAGAAGCAGGGTCAATACCATAACCTATCCGCGGTTATGGCCCAGGCACACGCGTACCATCTGACACGCACAGACTACCGGGACGCGCTGAAGGATGACCAGCGGAAGCTACTATTACGAGTCGTCCAAGCAATCAACAGGCAGCAAGAGCTGTCGGGACCAATGGTGATAGCGTACCTTATGGGTTGGAGAGATACGAAGGAGTCCCATCATTACTCCCCGCTGTACTGGTCGACATTTGTTGGCGCTCTTTTGCGCGCATTTCCAAACCTGGCGAGCAGACGGCATTCGTAAGTGCATTCGAACTGAACACGTGGAAGAATAGCTTACGCTGTATTCGCAGGTCGACAAGCGCACCAGCCGTGGAAGAGGCGACGACAGACGGCAGCAATGATTTGGAGCGAGCAGGCGCTGATGACACGGCACACGCAGAATATGGCGAACAGGTGAGCGGTTGTTATAGTGAGATATGTGATGTTATAGTTGCTCACCTCATGAATTTCACAGAGTGCGGAGGAAATGACCACGATCGCCGGCAGCCCTGGCGGCCACCTCTACCCCAAATCGCAGGTTACCGACTATCGATGCCGCGGCAACGGTCTGGAGGGCTTTAACGTCATTGAATTCACCATGCATTCCTACGAAACAGATAAGCGCCAGGGTGTCAGTGCCGAAGAACACACAGGATCGACCACTGAGGATTCACCAGGTGCATCTCAGGGAGGGCGTCCACGGAACACCAGAGTTGAATACACACCCGAACACCCTAAGCATGCAACATTGCTACGCGTCTTGCGTTCGGTCGGCCATAATAATCTCCCCAACTTCATTGGTGGCCACACCATACCCAACAGCGATGACCCTGAGATAGAGGAATATTACAGCGCCTGCATGCTCCTGTTATTGAAACCATGGCGAAACATTGCGGCGGACTTGAAAGGTCCGAATCAGACCTGGTCGGCGGCATTCGCACAGTTCAAGGAGGGATGTGATCCGTATGTGTGGCGTCTGCTCAGCGGCTTTCAGTACTTCCACGAGTGCGAGGCCGCAGCTCGCGAGCATCGAGCAGCGCGGGCTCAAAGGACGACACAATCCGCGTACGAAGGCGAAGTTTTGGGAGAGGACACGGGACATGCGCAGGAGGCAGAGCAACCGACGACGGCACTGTTGCAGAAACTGAGGGGGCAGGACAGAAGTGAGGACGAGGCACAGAACGGGCGGCGTGCTGTCTGGGAAGCCATGATGGTGGGGATATTCAGTGACGGGGAACCACAACAGAGCGGGGGAGAAGATAGCCGGCAGGTGAACGAACTCACCGACCTGGGAGTTTCTCACGCGACCCCCGCCACCACACAACAATTGGAGACGTGGCGCGAGCAGATGAAGGACGACATCGCACGACAGACCCTAGATCCTGCTCTCGTGCTCACTGGCGCATCCAGCCCGAACGTCGAAATGATGTTGGGTGACGATGGAGCGTCAGTGACGCTTCGGGAACAGCTGGTATCCGAAGAGGCCATCGGCAGTGTGGACGTATCGCAGCTTAAGGTCGATCAGAGGCGAGCGTACGACATTGTCACCTGGCATTTGGAAGAGACGTTGAACGGAAAGAATCCCCCGCCATTAAGGCTCATCGTATCGGGCGAGGGCGGCACAGGCAAGTCCAAAGTCATCCAAACAGTGACCGCCACCTTTGAATCCAAACAAGCGTCGAGGATGCTGGTGAAAGGCGCATACACCGGCATCGCGGCCTCCCTTATTAACGGCAAGACGACTCATACGCTGGCCGCCATCGGCCAGCGCAAGACACCGCTAAGCGAGGAGGCGAAAGCGAAGCTCCAGACGTTCTTCAAGCACGTCCGGTATCTCATCATCGACGAATATTCCATGCTCGGGAAGGCCTTCTTTGCCAAACTGTCGAGGAACATCAGCATTGCGAAACAACAGCCGGGTCAACCACAATCTGCCGAATCGTTTGGAGGAATCAGCGTCATATTATGTGGAGACCATCATCAATTCCCACCTGTAATGGGAGGCGAGCGTGAGGCATTGTATTGGCCATGCAATCCAGCCAACCAATCCGTCGAAGCGCAGCTGGGACGAGCTATATTCGAGGAGTTCCGGGAGGCCGTGATTTTGCGCGAGCAGATGAGGGTGACGGACACTGTTTGGCGGCAGTTCTTGAGAAATCTGCGATTCGGGCGCGTTCAGCAAGAGGATTTGGACATGCTGCGACGGCAGATCGTCTCACACAAAGACTGTCCACCCACCGATTTCAGAAAAGAACCGTGGTCCAATGCAGCACTTGTCACACCGCGACACGGTGTCAGGGAGAAATGGAATGCACAGGCCGTACAGGAGCATTGTCGACGTCGCGGCGCGCGACGATATGTCGTCAGAGCGGAAGACACCATCAATAACCGAGGGAGACGGAGGGACTTGACACTAGAAGAACAGATAGAGGTGCAAAAAAGGCGCTTGAAGTCAGGACGAGAAGATAAACGCAACAGTCTCCCTGATGTGGTAGAAATCGCAATTGGTATGAAGGTCATGGTGACGACGAACCTGGAGACAGACCTTGACATTGCGAATGGGGCGAGGGGCACTGTGGTTGGCATTGTCTTACACCAGGCAGAGGGAGTCGTCGGGGACGGAGATACTGTGACGCTTCATCACATGCCGCCGTATATCCTCGTGAGGCTGGATAGGACGAGGGCGACACGGCTGGCGGGCTTGGAGGACCAGGTCATTCCCATCGAGCCGGTGACGCGCACGTTCGAAATCCGATCGAAGCACGGTTCCAAAACTACGACACGAAGGATTGTTCGAAGACAATTTCCAATGACGGCGGCCTACGCGTTCACGGACTATCGATCCCAAGGTCAAACGATACCCTACGTCATAGTGGACATAGGACGCGTACCTCGAGGGAAATTGTCGCTTTTCAACCTCTATGTCGCTCTATCACGAAGCGCGGGAAGGGACTCGATACGCCTGTTGAGGGACTTTGAAGACGACATGTTTTTACAGGCCCATCAACCTCCAATCTTGGAGGAGGACGATCGGTTAGAAAGGATGGATGCGATGACAAGGGCGTGGTGGGTGCAAATGGGAGAAGGGGCAGCGCATGGAAACAGCTAGAAGGTACAGAGGCAATGAGAACAAGCATGGTTAGCACAATGATGATACACTGTCATACCGCTGCAATCCATTAGGTGAACATTGTCGAAGTCTACACGGCGGTCGCACCCAGAGCGAGAAAGATCGAGCCCGACAGACGCGTCAGCAGACGAATGGAGACATAATTGTGATTACATAAGAATGTAGTGCAGCCCGAAGGCTGGCGCTAGCGTCAATGGGAATCCCGCGAAGACGACAGAAGATGAGAGCAAGCAAAGCAGGAAGACAGTCAGGTAGGAAGAAAGACATGAAGACGACGCAAGGCAGAGAAGGTGAGAACACAGAAACATGCGAAAGTACGACGTGGACAAGGAGGACGCGACCACGAGCGTAGCGAAACACGATTTGATCGCAGGCTAGTGACAACGCAGGGGCCGCGAACTGTAAACTGACGAAATGATTACATGCGCGCCAAAGAAGAAGCAGATGTCGATGTAGAAGAGAGAGAATATGGAATAAAATGAACCAGAGAAGCCAGAAAGACAGAGACGCCACTGGGAGATGTACGCCACACGAAAAGCTGTTTGTACATGTTTGTTTTTGGCAACCGATTTTGCGAGGTTACCGGGGTGCGAAGGACCTTGAAGCAAGGTAATACGTAATATGAGGTCACGGTCTTCAAAGATCGCCCGGAGGTAAAGATGGTCATGTCTGACAAAGTTGGGCACGTCGTCTCGATCTCTCTGAAGCAGACGGACTTCAGGGAGCTGGGTACGAAAAAGGTATATACTGACTCCCGTTTCATGACCTCCGGTGCGATTTTGTGTGACTGACGCTCTTCTACCAAGGCTCTCCTTGCTCGTGTCGGTACCGGCACCGATCATGGCATCTTTCTCGTCCAGGAGATGCTTACGAATCACTTGGGTTTCTCACCGGGAAATGTCGAGATGCTCTACTTTGACATCGAAGAGCAGGACGGTATAAAACAAGCCAGGAGAGGGCAGGACCCGCCCACGGCCACTCTTTTCAGGGAGAAGTTCACCCGTCTGATATCTACTGCGTCCGCAGGAGATGTCCGCTTCTTGTATCTCGACGCTCGTAGGGCCGTGTCCCCCGGTGGAGGTTCGAGTAGATCGTCGAGGCAGGGCGAGGGCTGGGACTTTGCGGAGGACGGCCAGGGAGAGACGAAGGAGGTTGTGCACGATGACTGGATTCGCAATACAGTCCGTGAGGTACGTACATTGATCGCAGCCTAACATCTTCTGAACGTGATAAATCTGATTATATTCCTAGAACTTAAAACCCGGAATCAACTTGACGGTTCTCACCACGTCAGGTGTAGGTGGCGGGATGTTCAAGAAGCAAACTGCAACACCCGGTATCTTCCTCGCTGGCTGCGACGAAGCACAGCTCAACGTCAAAGCCCTGAAGCAAGGCAACGACATCCTAGACCCGTGGTCGGATGCTATAACCAAAGTCATCGCAAAGCGTGTAGAATAGAAGCGAGGGGTACCGAGCTACACTATCCTCTTCAACGAGACGAAGAAGTACATTGAGAAGCAACTCAAAAATGGTCCACCTCTCTGTCCGACCTACAGAGGCCCCAGCCCAGACGAGACGAAGCCACTCCCATACGAACCGGTCTGGATGACGAGTAATCAGGATCCGCAATTGATGCTCTATGACGGGTATGTAGACCCGGACACGGAGAAGTTTTTGTGTCCATTTGTGGCCGCAAACGGTGGGAGTGCTAGTGGGGAATTTAGAAAGTATCCACGCGACGAGGTCTATGAGTAACCGTTCATCGAGGCAGTACTGTCCTATTCAATGCGTTGTTTGTCTATTGTTCATTGATTTTGTCAATGTATACTTACTAGTAAGGAAATCGTAGCACTGGCATCATGTATTTTCTGATATACGATCACTTTCAAGTACATGCGAGGGACAGAGTTCTTAGGACGATATTTCAATCGTCATCTTCCAGCGTAAGATCTATAACCTCTCCAGCGTACTCCCCAAGCTGGATAGGCGATGGGCTTCTCTTAACCACTCTACCAACTTCTTGAGCTTCCCGATATAGCGCGTCGTGTCTTTCGTCGAATTCTTGATGCGCAACATAACTCTCTTCCTGAAGAGAAAGAAATCAAGGAAAGCATCCCATAAATGTTCATAGGCATTGTCCGATATCAATCATTGCGGCAGCTTACTTACCTCGAGTTCTCTCCAGCGGGTGAGTAAATCGGAATTAACGTCAAGCACGCTGATGACGGCACCCGATTCCTGCTTAATCGTGATATTGGAGAACGTGTGTGAGGGTTCCTGTTCAGATTCAAGCGTATTGCCCTGGACTGCTCGAGCCTCTTGCGCGAGTTCTTCAGCCTGTCGCCGGCGATCAGCCTCGTATCTGATTATCTCTTGCTATGAATGGCATCCAACATTGAACAAATTAGTAGGGTCTCAGGGAGGTGGTAGGATTAATGTCACCTGTAAGCGGACATAATTTGCGAGAATGGGCGAGCTAAGGGGTAGCACGACACGCAATCCTCCCGTTCGGCTATCTAAAGTCCCTGACATGGCATGACGGCCTCGTACAGATATGGTCGGCGACGTGCGCTAACGCAAAATATATCTTAGGTTTGCAGCTGTGAATGTGATTGACGAGTTACTCACGGCATTCTGTTGAGATCCAGGGGATGCCGCTGCTCCAGCTCGATCGAGCCTGTCCCTTGCATTTTGGGCTAGAGTCGATGGAAGAGGCCGACTACTCGCGTTGGCGAGACTCCTAGGTTCTACTGGACGTGACGTTGCCGAGTCTGATGGGACGGACGTCCTCCCTACGGCCGGGGCAGAGGGAGCTGGTTGGGGATGTGAGACGGTGTGTGGCTGAGAGGCGCGGATATCAATCGAAACCGCATCTAAGCCTGACCGTTCCTCGTCCAATCTCATGCGTGAGGATGGCCTGATATGGCTGCCCTGTTCAAGATATCGACTCATTGAGCACCCGCAGTAAAGTTGGGTATCGCAGCGACATACCTCCAATACGGGCGTCGAGGGGTTGGAGTCCCCACTAGAGTTACTAGTTCTCAGACTGGCAATACGACTTCGTATGGCTGTCAGAGTACTTCCACTACCCACGCTACGGTCGCAGTGGTTTTGAGGCTACAATACCAATAAACAGACATTCAGTGTGGGCACATTATTTTAAACGTATCCCACTTTACCTGAGGTGATGGTTGGGGCAAAATGGGCCTTACCGGTTCCTCTTGAGGCTGACCATCTCGGCCAGCGTTTGTAGTTGTATCGCCTCCATCGCGCTATCATGTACTACAATTAGTCATGCGTGGCAGGAATCAATTGATGTTTCTCACCGGTCTAGGTCTTTGCGACAAACTTTTGCGACAGGGTCGAGTTTGTTTGGCCTTCTGCTTCCAGTAGAGCGGTCAGCGGCGAAGATCGAACACCATATTCAGCCTTGAGTCATGTTCTGTAAGGGATTACCTTGCGCTGGCCCCTTGATCCATTGGACGAACTTTGTTGTCTGTCGATCATCGGGGTTTTTCGTCGCCCGTAAGGGTGCGACACATAAGAATGTGAGGTTGGGCGCCTAGCAGACCTGCGCTGTCTCTTGCATGATCTACCTCCAGTGCCATTCTTACGAGCAGGATAGCGCTCTTCATAGTCGGAATCATCAGAATCAGTACGCGAGCCTGATAGGAGCCCATCAGAGGCGAGAACCTCTAGAGACAAGAGAAGAGTGGCGAGAAAAGTTATAAGGGTCGTATCGGTCCGAATGGCTTACGGCAGTGGGCACCACTGGACACACCTCTTGGCCAATACCAAAACCTAAGTGTCGCAAGGTATTCGGCCCCCGCATAATAGCCTTGAGGAATCTCCTCTACTGGTTGAGTATTTCCGCTGGAGGCTGTTGTGAACTCTAGAGGGCCCAGGCTGTGGATGCGCAATTGGGCCATGGGTCATTGCAAGAAGTAGACGACCAGATAAGTGACGTACACAGTACGGTGCCATTCGTCGACTTTAGCCTGCTTAGGCATCGGGTCAATGGTAGGCGGAGGTAGTGGAGAAAGCCTCGGCGGAATTGATCGCGGTCGGCGACCTTTCTTGAGAGGGTACACATTGAGCTGAATGAGCCCAATGCAGCCCCCTAGTCTGATGTCCTCCAATTCGACGCCCTTTCTCCTCGCATCCTGTGGAGCTTCAATACGCGGCGCTTAGGCACCCTGTCCCAGATATACGTTTGAGATAGTTCTACGTACTCATGGATGCGACTTTTGAGAAAACGAATGGTCTGAACAGGTTCCCGTCGTCGATCCCCCCAATACTTGCGCCGCCAGTCGGAATACCCTGATCAACGCCATTTTCTTCTTCACCCGAGCTCGTAGTTGGTCCTACGGCAAAAACGGTAGCAGCGTGCCACCCGTCGATAAATACCTCCACTAAAGCTATCTTTCCAGGGGGTGCTTCAATATGAAGTCTATACTCCTTTAAACAAACCTCAGTCCACGTCCAGCGCTTCGATCGAGTGAGAGAAAACACACCTGTCCCACTTCACTCATGACCGCGTATCCGAACTCATTATCTTGAAAGTTATCGTAGCACCTGCTCAGTAGGCGGTACGCGGTGTACTCCTCGCCTTGGCAGGTAATGCGAGCGACATATCCTTCGTATTCCAGCGGCATTGTTGGTTCAATCAGCAAATGGTCTGGGAAATGTAGATGATGTGGTCAGTCTGGTCCGTACAGGATATCAGGAAGACTTTGAAGGGGTGGGGCCACCACGCGACCATTGGGCGCAAGGAAAAGACGTCTTTTGACCGCACGTTTACCAGCAGGCGACCATGCGTCTTCTCCACTAACATCTTCCGTATGAGTGTATTGAATGGCGTAGTTGGAATGGAACCACGTCACGGCATTTTGGGGGGCTTGATGGACATTGAGCACGAGCAATACTTTCCTCAAATGCGGCTGTAGATTACGCATAAGAAAAGAACTGTACATGCCTACAAATTCAGTAATTTCTCCATGAACACAGACGAGTGCGTCGAGCAGTGGGTTGAGCGTCCCGGAGGTAGTATGCAAAGCGTGAATTCCAATTGATAGCTTGAATGTCCGCGAACTTCAACGATGATAGGATGCCTACTGGTTTAAATCATGGGAGCGGCTCTTTCGAACTCGACAGTCGGTTGAGGTGAATGTACACATCCGTCCCGAACCCATCCATCGAGATCAACCTAAGATCGCCTCCGAAATACCGCGCATACTGTGGGGAAAAGAAGAAGACCCCACAGTCAATATCAGTCTTTATCCGCACGGGATGGAGGGAATATACGCACCAGTCTCGACAGTGGTAGCCCATACCCGAAACCTGCCATCGGCGCCTGGAAATCACTACTCTGGAAATCCTGATCAATCCCTTGCCCCTCCATCGTCGTATACATATACGTCCAAATCAACGGTATCGCGCTCCTCGGGATGCCCCCTCCCTCATCACTAATCTTGATCGTAATATCCTCCTTGCCCTCCACCACCACGACCTTTATCGGCGGCAACAGCTCCTCCTTCTGCGGGCCGTAGCGCTCGACGACCGCACGGAGGGAGTTTTTGAGCAGTTCGAAGCAGATGTGGGAGAGATGGCCAGGGACGTAGGCGAAGTGGAGGTCGGGTGGGCAGATGAGTTGGACGGGTGGACCCTTGAACATCGCGTAGTGCTCTTCGCAGACGAACCGGGCGTTTTCGATCGCTTCATGGACGATGTCATGGACGTTCTGGGGAGAGAAGATGTGAGATATCTGATGAGATTTCGACAAAGACTGGCGCTCACCGATCTCGTACAGATTATGCCCACGTAGTCGGGGTGTGGTTGGAGGTTGTTCAACGCCACATCTATGCATGCAATGTCAGATACGAGACTCGAGGGTGGACGAATAAGAAACTGACGCTGCCCAATCAAAAACCGAATGCCAATACGCGACATATAAAACCTATCCAACCAGGCCTGGATATCCAGCCCAATATCCTTCGCGTTCTGCTTCCTCTTCCACTCCAGCACGCCTTGCGCCACAGTCGTCACAGTCGGGTCGTGTCGCTTCTTGATGGACTCGAGCAGTTTCGTGAAGTTTCTGTTATATTCGTGCACCTCTGGTGGCCAGTCGATCCCCGACGTTTTAGCGTAATACCTGTGTGGCGTACATCAATTTCAGTTTCAGTTTCAGATAACGGATATGGAAGCGTTCGAGGATTCACCTCTTCTCAATCGGTATTCTGAGCTTGGACCGATTGCTCCCGTTGCCATTCCTGTTATGAGAGTTGTAATGGTCCTTCAAGTCCTCCAACGACGGGTTCGGCACAGATTCCGGTAGATACGATTCTTCAGAGGATGACGAAGGCACCATGAGTGCTTTCCGGACGTCCGAGGACACACGTACAGGCTCCAAATTGATGAGTTCCTACATCCATAACATATTAAAATACAATATAAGAGAACGTGTGGACATAGAAAGAGCGAAGGGGCGTACCTCGAACGACTGTGCATACCAATTCCGTACTTTCTGGATGGACGGCATCTGGCCTAGGTTGTGTGGCAGCTCATCGAGCTCCTTCACCCGGTGTGCGAGCCGCACGGGAAGTTCCTCTGATGAATGAAGTAAGAGGCGGTATCAGTACTTGCTTGGCCACTCTCAGGACTGCCAATACCCGTGAAAGGTGCTTCTATCTGGCATGCACCAGTGTGCCATAGGAGATGCCAAGAGCTGTTGCCAAAGGATGATTGGAAGGTGGCCGTCCTTCGAGGCATCCTTACTTAGAAACAAATGGCGGGACTATTCCATGACTGTTCCACGCCCCCTAATGCCAAGGAGAAGGGTCGCACATAGACCGTAAACTCGCAGTAGTATAATGAAGGCCGCTACAAGTGCACACAATGCGTCTACGTTCTCCTCGCAGTATTACAACAGCGGAAAGGAGAATAAGAATGGCTGGGCAAGCGTAAGGCATTCGGTGTTGTTGGGCCACACCGCTTTGTGTAAGACTTTGTGACATGTTCCGCCGCGAACTCGGCTCACCGTAATGTGTTCAGCTCACTAGTTGTGCGCGATGGTGTGATCATAGTCAAAGGGGGCACAAGTGCACGAAAGAATGTCTCGCAGGCGACCTCTTGGCATCAGGGGTAAACCATGCCCATAGCATCTGGGACTTTAGTTGTCCTCCTGAGCTACTTGAGTCGATATGACGGGGTATTGCTAAGATACCACATAGAACTTCAGGCCAAATTGCAAAGCCTAAACGAGCTTTCTGAAGCAGTGGTAGAGAAAACTAGTTGGACGGAAGGTCCGTATTTCCGCTCGGATCGGAGGAAACAGCACTCTCCGTACAAATACTCGTGTAATAGCTGGTCATAGTCAGACCAAAGCTCTTGAGAGGTAGTGACTCATCGCATGATGCCACGTAGTGGTTTCCTCACTCATTCAATAGCAAGCACACACCGGACTTCCCCACCCTCTAGCCCGTTCGCCTGACCGCCCAGACAAGACGCAGTAATAGACAACGACGCTCACCTTTCAAGAACTGGCCAGCTTTCAACAAGGTACCCTGACTAGGATTCTGCCCAAACAACACCATCTGCTGGAGCGACACTTCAAGACGAACGAAACCCGGTCGTGTGAGCACCGAATGCGGGGTAAAGCAGTCGACCGAAACGCACCTCCTGTCTGGGGAAACGACGCGAAATGGTGTATTTTGTCCCATAACGACGACGTTATCCTGAATCCCGAAGACATCTTGCTTGTCGTCGTCCTGTAGATATATTCCGAGCAGAAAGACGGTGAACGAGATGAGGATGAGGAGTGAAAGGCGGGGTTAACACATGAGACGCGCTAGAAGGTGCCACTGTTCTCTGGCACTCAAGTACTCCCGTTTCCGTCCACTCATGCAGCGGCCCGTGCCGAGCGATCTCCCTTAATTGGTTTTCGCACGTGTTTTTGCTTTTAGGCTCTCAACCAATCCCCGCTTCTTTATGTGAGAAATCGGGTGGGCGAGTTCCTCAATCGGAGGTGAACGCTGGCGGATGGCCGAGAACCTGCTCTTTCCTCCAATATCCTCCACCTTGTTCCGTTCCTCGGGAGGTGTCGGGAGCGAAGGGGAGGCATCTGCTGGATCTAGATCTATCTAGGCATGCCAGACCAGGGAACGGGAACTTCAATATATACGGGACCAGGATGAACTTGTGGACCATGACAAGAAGAGTAAGCACTCCGAAATTCATCAACTGTCTACTATCCATCCCGAGCAGACTCCAGAGTGCTCCTACACCACGGATATAATTACAGTCACACATGCAGCGAGCACATCCATCCCTGTTCTGTGGCCCACTCCGCCACAGGGGCAAGGAACGTCAGTTCCCCGCAGTACTGTACAATCCTCTGGGGGAAAGAGCCAATGAGTCGAAACTTACGCAATAACACGGTCGGACGTACCGTCCCAAGTCCGCCTTCCATACACAATATACGATAACACCCATCATCCAGATCCAAACCATCCTAACATCTCTTCGTGCCTTTTCTCCTCACGAGTACAAATCGACTACACATGAAGAACAACATCCCACCCAGCGACATGACCTGTCGGCCGCCCTCGGATGTCAGCACTCGTCTCTGGGGAAGGGAGGAAATCGAAGTGAGATACGTACTCCAGTGTAAACTATGGGTCTCCACCATGTAAAATTGCGAGAGAGGAGGGCGCCAGTAATGGGTGTACCTGAGAGTATAGTCGAGCGAGAGATCGTCAGTGATAATGTACCGAAGGAATTCCTAGAAGAAGCCATTTACCTATGAGACTCCCTAGACCTGTGCGGGAGGTGAAGAGTTACGCTTATGTAATACGACAAGACGAAGATGCACACCTGTGAACGCATACCCAATCCCCATACGTGCTCTGTTCAAACTATCAGACGACAATCAACATCATTAATAATAAACGAGAACGATATACCCTAGCTCAGACACATCTTCACTCAGGCTCGAAAACATCGGTCCTAGGAGCGTTACATCTATCCCAAAAATCGAATGATCAGTACCCTATGCAATAGCCGTGATAATGAAGCGAAACAACGAACAGACACCACTAAAGAACCCATACAACAGCGAAAACACGACCACACCGGCGATGTCCACCACTGCCAACATCGAGAACAGCAGCACACTGCAGACGAAGGTGCTGAATATGATGACGTTGAATACGCCGAAGCGGGGTACGAAGGCTCCGCCTACCAGACGGCCGATGAAGGAGGCGAAATTGAGGATTGAGAGCTAGTACAGTTGTGAGCGTGAGTTAGGCGGCGTGATGGTAAGGGAGGGCGGGGCTGTGGCGTACGGAATAGAATCCGAAGGTTGTGTCTAGGCCCTTTTGGTCCGAGTATAGCTGCATATAGAAGAGGGGGAAGAAGACGCCCTGAACGACGAGAAACGTCCTGTGCACATATCAACGATCAGTGTCCACTCCGAACAGCTCTCAGAAACGAAAGACGGGATTCACCCTATGACAGCAAACACATAAACCTCATCCTTCGAAAACTTCTTCGCCGCCGTCCATAGCCCTACGCGCCCCTCTTCCTTCTTCGGCGGTCCCCTTGTCCTCGTCAGCAATCCCCCCACCAATAACGCACCACCGACCAACCCCGCGCTTGCTCTCACCCCATTCCCAAATCCCAGTGGCCCATGAATCAAATTGTTCAGCATGATAGGGTGGAGCAATGCTCCGAGTGAGGTTCCGGCTGCAGCGACTCCCATTGCGAAGGCCCGCTTCCGACGGAAGTGGTGTGCTGTCACGGCGATGGCGGGAACGTAGATGATCCCTGTGCCCAGACCCAGCGCGAGACCAAGACTGAGGAAAACCTTGATAGAAGAGCAGGGAACTCATTCAAGACCGCGAAACGATCTGGAGTAACAATGATTCAACTTACCTGGTAATATTGCTGAGATTTTGCAAGCGAAAGCATGAACAGCGCAAAGGTAGTGAGTGTACCCCCAACGAGTATGAGGTAATGACTGTATCGGGTATACGTGAGCGTCTTCGTGGAGACCAAGAGGAAATGATCGTCGTACTTACAAGTAGCCTCTGTCAAACAACCTACCACATAGCGCACCTCCTGAAAGTGCGATGAACGTGGCAATGCTTCCAATCCAGCTAGGCGGATGATTGAGCCGAACCATAATAAACGAGTTAGGAGTCGTTAGCAGAAAGAAGTACCTGATCTGCGACGACGAAAAGTCCGTCAAGAACGTTCTTACGAAGAAGTCTAGACAGAGAACATTATTGACCGTAAATTCAATATACAACGAAGCTTCGGTAGGAGTAGCACGTTGCACTCACCTTGGTACACCCCGAAGGCGTTGACATATCTGCAAAACTCAACGCCATTAGACTGCAAAGAGGTCTACGGGATGAGAGACAGATGTGAGACGTGCCCAGCCGCAAACTGTATCAACACTCTGCAGAACAGGCGGATCCAACAAAGTGTGGTGAGAAGACCTGGATTACACGCTCGTGGATACTGTCGACTTACGCGCCGAACAATGTCGACCATGCCCAAAATCCTCCGTCGGGGATGTCAGACTCAGAGTCACCGTCCGTTCTCTTTTCATCAACGACATCCTCTATATCCTCGGACGGACTTGATTGTTTCACCTCTGCTTCAAGAACGGAGGGGATATTCTCCAGAGACATTCGAGTTGACAGAGCGATTCAGAGAGTCTGGCAGAAGAAGAGAAAAGAGACGTCGGATGAGCTAGCTGTCAGGAGAACGACTAGAATAGCCGTCTAGCGCTTTCGCGTCGAGTTTGGTTGCTGACAACCGGAGCAAGCGAGCTATACAGCTCGTCAAGCCACCACTGACTTCGTCGAAGCGTTGGTGGGAGTGAGAAAGCACGGCAAAGGCGGCAGTCAGTTTCGAAGCAGTTCCGATGAATCCGTGCATCACGCAGGAGAAATATGATGACGCCCACGACCAAACCTGGTTCCGAGTATGGACATTTCGCGAGGAGATCATACTACATAGTCAACCGAGGAAAGCAAGGTCACATTGTTCTTTGCTTTAGCGGCGAGTGCGACTGGGAGGCGTGTACAGGCAATAGAGGGCATGGGTGAGTATAAGCCGTACCAAGTTCCCACGGTCTCGACCTTCCGGCTTCAAACATTGCCCGGCCGTTGCCGTGACGGTTCAGCCTCTCTCATGTAACACAGTAAACACGACCACTTTCACTCGATCCAGGATAGAAAGCTTGTCTCGACTGCTCTATGGCGTTGGTGTTTTGGGTATAATAACTGCGAAGACCTTACTCAGGACAATAGAAATTCCATTTCCAGGCTACGGCATCAAGACTATGTATCGCTGACGTCGAAGACGTTACACTTCGGAAATTATCTCTGGTGCTCAGTGGACGACGTATTCGCTGATGTGCACTCTGTGGACAATACTCCAGCGTCGATAACGGAGCTCAAGTCTCGATTGATATGATTCAATATCTATCCTCCCGACCGTTGTGTGCGACGTTCACAACAGTGCGCTACCACCTCTGTAGAAAATTGATGCCGAGCGCATGCACTCGTGCCTCGGCCCAATCAAGTTTACATATTCCGCCCGTTCGTATGCCATGGTAACTTACAAGGCGTATGTTGCCCATGCTCGGGCTGCAGCGTAAGCGCATTATATAAACCTCATCTTCGTCCAACCCACCTTCGTCCCCATCACTCTTTCTTCGCTCCTCTTGACGAGGTTCCTCACGTTCTTTCTCTAGCTCGATTGCTTATCCCTTGCTGGTGCTAGCTGCCATCCATTCTTTATTTTTTCACTTGTGATAGCCTATAAGCATGCTTATTCGCATTTCCTGCCCTCTACTTCTCAAGGCCTCTGTGTCGCTCGCTGCTCCATTCTCTTTCGCTCGCCGTGTGACAACTGGAGTCACTCTAGATCCCGCTGCTGTTGCCGAGGCTCAAGTCCGCGACGATACTGCGACTCGCGCGTTCTCAGCTACCTCTATTACGGTCTGTTTTGCTCGCGACTCAACTACCCTCCTTGATTGATTGCTCATTGCATTTTTTCTCCCTTCTCAGACCAGCGACGGTCAATGTCTTTTCGTTGATCCTACATCTGGGGACTTCCGCGAGAACCTGACTCCGGTACAGACCGCTGCTTGCAACGGGAGCACTTCCCAGCATTGGGATGTGATCACCGCTGGTGTTCACAACAATGTCCCTGGAGCGGCCTTGATAGTCAGCACCTTAGTCCGTACCTTGATTCTCTCTGCAATCAACAATCCAGTGCTCATGCGACATTGAACAATAGACTAATGCGTGCCTCAACTTCGATCCCCGTCGTGCAGCGGGTAATCAAGTTCTGCTGTTCTCCTGTGGAGGCAGAGCGGACGGCGGTGCGTACATCTTCACTTTCGCTGTTGAAAATCACTCATCTAGCATTCACTTTTCGTAGGTGGCGCTGTGACGAACTCTCAATTGTTCAACTTCGCCGGTGGTGCGGGACCTTTGCCTTTAGTGCCTCAAAACGCTAACAATGCCACATGTTTGATCATCACGAACGGACTGCTCGATCAGACTTCGTGCGATCTAACACAAGCATCCGGTCTTGAGGTGAGAAAAAATATTCTCTCACCGGACTTCTTTGCCCATCTTGACATTATTCATCATCTCTCAGCTCTTCACTTTCGGTAGTGACGCTACTACATCGCCTGCATCAAGCACATCCTCCGCTCCCTCGGAAGCCTCTTCCACATCCACGGACGCAACATCATCTCCCACTCCCACTTCTACCACTCCCACCTCCACCCTCTCCTCTCCCACAGTCACCGGCACCGGCACCACAGTCCTCGATCCCACCGCTGTCGCGGAAGCTCAAGTGCGCGACGACACCGCTACTCGCGCATTCTCCTCCGCCCAGATTCAAGACTCGACCGGCCAATGCCTCACCATCGACCCTCTTTCCGGTGATTTCCGTGAGAACTTGATCCCCGTGACGGTGCAGGCTTGCGATGGGAGTGCTGGGCAGCAGTTCGATGTGATCACGAGCGGGGTTCATAATAATGTGGCGGGAGCTGCGTTGATCGTCAGCAGCGAGGTGAGCTAGGTTTATGAGCCCTTCTTATCCTCTAAGCTACTGGGACTTCAACTTATCCACATGATCATCAACTTCCGTAGACTCAAGGATGCCTAAACTTCGATCCTCGACGAGCAGCCGGCGACCAGGTCATTCTGTTCTCCTGTGGCGGTCGCGCTGACGGTGGTAAGCCTACTTCCAATACGGTGATTCCCTTCTGGTAGTTGACAATTACTCTCGATGTTATCCCAGGCGGAGCGGTCACCGATTCTCAACTTTTCAACTTTGCCAGCGGCTCAAGCTCTCTGCCGCTCGTCCCACAAAACAGCAATAACGCGACATGCCTGGTCAACTCGAGCGGTGCGCTCGCACCGGCAAACTGTGATGACAGTGCCGATCAGGTGGGCGTCCTTTCTTCTCCTTGAACAAGCGGACAGATGTCATAGTATAGCTTACTTCCCACTATACTTTTACCCATAGCTCTTCGTGATCGTTCAGTAGCGGCGTCGAAGACGAAGGCAGAGACTGAGACGAAGTGTCCAAATCAGGTTGTGTATTCTAGCCCTCATGAGTGCAAAAGCTACAAGGACATTACGATGTATTGAGAAGACTACTTTGATACAGTCAGAACTTGGTTGGTGAGGTTTACTCGTCCCTCGATATTAGCATTGTTCTATCATATGGAGGGCAGCGGCTGCGACGTCCTGTCCCACGATTTGTGGAGTACAGAAACTTGAAAGCAAGATGAAGAGACGAACAATATGTGTCCTGAATCGTGTTTTCTGTGGGCTGAAGAACAAAGGAACACCTTGGGTAACCTTGTCGATGGGTCGATCCTCGGGAATTTCTTTAATTTAATCATTAGGTGGCTGGTAAGGATTTTCCTTGGCATCTGGAATGGGTGACTCTTACACTGATTTAGACTTTGAGTCTTGATGCGTGACATCGAACTTTCTACTTCCAAGTTCATCCAATCCCGTTTGCTGACGCTTTTTAGCGAGTTTTAGAAGGAGAATCAGAAGAATGGGGTATCTCCGATTAGCCTTTCTGTGGTGGACTGCCGGTAGCGTTTGCATAATTCCCCTCCAGTCTCGACTTTCAAGACACTCTTATTTTGTTTCAGGTCTTCCATACCCCTGCGGTCTCAGAATAGCACTCAGGCAATCAACAGCGGAGAGAGTCAGAGCCTCAAAGCAAAAGATCATCATGATCTTTCCTATCTCCGTGAGAGGTTCATGACCGCCTGGGGAGCAAGTCTCAGCAAACAGTGCATGAGTTTCGGGAGAAGCATGATCTCATCATCACATCTGATTCTGCTGATCCTCTGCCTCCAACACGATAGCCTGGTGTGCATGGTATGAATGCTGGTAGCGCTCATACCTGGGATTATCTAGACTCGCAACCTCGGTTTTTTGTCTTGAAGATGGTATTCCATCCGAACTACCTGTTTCGAGGAGCAGGCACGTAATGCCTTCTCTCCACAAAGCCCGAACTACATCAGTCACAAGGACCGTGTAAGTCGTCGTTGAGCCTTTGGAAGCTACATTGTTTTCTCAGGTATCTATTGCACTGCTGTTTTGAATCAGTCTCATGGATGAATCATACAGCTATCCTGGGCGGTCCTGGGCGGTGAGACTTCACCTCTTTGGAACCCGGATCCGACTCTATCAGAATGTCGCCTGAACCGCTTGAGGATAGATGCCCATAAGTACGGTAAAGAGTACTTGGTTCTTTTGCCACCTTTTCTTTGCCCACACGTATTCCTTCCTCACCATACCATGGCCGCACCACCTGTCACGAACCCAATTGTGCTTGATCTCTCAAACACCGCTGGAGCTACCTTGATCAGTCTTTTCATCTCCAGCGCGCTCTGGGGCGTGTCGTGTGTCCAAATGTGAGTCTGGTTTCTTCTCTATTCGTGTCCTCGCCATTCATATCAGCATATGCAGGTTCACATATTTTTACACGTTAGTAATTACTTCAGTAGATGCAGGTGTCTTGAACGCGGGCGCAGCATACTGACGCTTCGGTGTCCTTCAGATACGGAGACTCGGATGGGAGGGTGATGAAATTCGGAGTGAGTGCTAGCAACTTACATCTGGACGTCGGATTAATCGCTGACTTTCTCGATAGGTGGCTTTCCTTTGGTAATAGATCTCTCGAGAGACCGTCCACTACTCCGTTGACGGGTCTATTGACTGATACCCCTCTTCACGATATAGGGCTCTTAACACTGCCAACGAGGCACTCACCGCAACCCCTGGTAATTTTTTGGTTCTCCCAGACTCGGTCATTGCCAGCTTATGCCGGGTTCCTTGTAGAGTGGCGCCAGGTCATCTCGAACTGGGGAAGCTTGGAGGTCCTCGCACAGTTCGCGCCGTCAGTCCCCTGATCCCATTAGCATGTCTTTCACTGCAGGTGCTAATGCGCTTTGTTTTCAGAGAATTCATGGTTCGTCATCTCTCCTCTTGAGCGTTACATCTGTGCACCGGGTTGACTTCACGCTTCGGTTCAGCATGCGGCTTGGACTTCTGTGCGTGTATTCTCTCTACCTACTCCTTGCTATGCATCTAAGAACGCCGTTATTCTGACTATCCCGCAGATCCTTCTCAGCGCTGTTGTGCAATTGGTGTTCATCCGCAGAATATATCTATGTAAGAACACCTTTTCTGGCTCCCATTGCGTTCTATGCTTAAATGTGTCCGTCTCGAAAGTGAGCGGCAAGAAATCCTTTTGGATTGCGCCTTGTGCCTTCCTAGTACGTTCGCGACCAGTCTGTCATGATTCATAGACTCTTTTTATCCTCACGGCTGCCCTTTTGTGTAGGTTCTTATTACGGTTTATCAGCTCGGTACGTGATTACCTCTATGCCTTAATATCCTTATATCATGCTCATTATCAATCGTACTCAGCGGTGACGATTGGTGAGTTCATCCATCGTATCTCTACGCGTTCTGACCCGTGCTGACGGAACACCGAACAGCATGGATAATCATTGGGTTTGTACACTTCTCCTCTGTCTGTACTCTGTGCTCATGAGCTGAGCGTCGTGATAAAGGTTCCAGTCAGGGATAACGAGCCACTCTCAATTCGTGAGTCCTTGATGTCCAACAGCATAACACGCACTAGTGACGGTGTTTCTGTTTTCCTCTCGCGCTGCAACATAGGCACTCGCCCTGTCGATCAGGTGCTGTACGACTGCGGATGACGTCCTCATTGCCGCTGCAATTATATACCTGCTCTTGAGGAACGGGTGGCCCAAGTTCAGGAAGTATGCAGAGCTCGCATAGTAATAATGTGGTACCAATTTTAACATCTTCATCCATATGTAGGTCTAGGCAACAGCTTCTTCGTCTAGTCATGGTGACGATCAACAGTGGTGCCTGGACGGCGTTGTTTGCCCTCCTGACCGTCATCTTCGTACGCCGCATCTCCACCGTGCCCTTCGTTCTCCTCACCCTCTTCATATAACTCTAATGCTTGCTGAACGTCCAGATGTCAATCTACCCATCGACCCTGGTTTCTGGTGTCTTCGACCTTTCGCTCCCAGCATTACACCTCACCTCCCTCCTCGCGAATCTCAACTCCCGGCGCTACGTTAGAGGACAATCCTCAGCATCGTCCTCCAGCCCCTCTGATCCAGAATGGAACGAGTGCACCTCAGCCTTCGACTCTGGTAGTCGGTCTGGATATAGCAGCGGTGAGAGGCGGCCTAGCACAAGTGTCTATCCGTCGAATGCATTCCGGCTCAAGGGCAGAGGGGCAACTGGCGAGACGAAGACTACGATGGGTATAAAGACGGAGAACAGCGTGCAGTTCTCTCCAAGTACGCCAAAAGCACGAGGGGAGTTTGAGAGTGTTAATGCGGTATGCATTTTGCTTGGGCTTTGAAGGCTACGCTGAGAAATCATCTTGATTTGCTCACTGCTCAGGTCTCGCCCGTGGTTGCGATTTTGAAACCTGAATCTATGGACTATGACGGCACGGACACGCATAGATTCTACCGTCAATCCGAAGAGCACAACGCGTCAAACAGTGAGTCTCTCGAACATTTTCTTCTAGCATCCAATACCGAACAAGCATGGTCATAGGATACGGAGGTGTTGAAGCCTACCACATCAACTAGGCTTTGCTTCATGTGGCAATCCACAAGGGTTTGGTGGGAGTGGGGACACAGCATTTGTGAGTCAGGGTGGATCGATGGAGTGTTTGGATCGAAAGTGTTGTATGTACTAAGTATTAATGGTGGTATGTATTTGTTGTTATGGTATGTGGGCCATAGGCACTTTAGGAACCATGAAGTGCTCAGTTGAAGTGGCGACTCAGCTGAGATTGTCGCGACTACCACCTCTAGGTCCCGGTATCTTCGACCTTTCAATCACAACACTACACATAATCTCCCTACTTACAACTTTCCACTCGGAGCTGCACCTAAACCAAGCCCTCAGCCTCAACCTCCAGCCCCTCTGTTCCGGAGAGTGCACCTCGCCATCTGATTATGATAGGTGGAACGATGGAAATATCAGGAGGCCTAGAAATTTGAATTCTTATAACCTAGGGAGAAGAGGTGGTAGTCCCGCTTTGGTATTTCGTTGAAGCCAGCAATCAAGCAGTGTTGTGGCAAAAAAAAAGTCATTGTTAATTGCGGTTAGATCAAGTACAAGTTAAATGAGAGTCTGAGTCTGAGATAATACGGCACAGGGAAATAGGATCGAGCACGGAGAACGTCGTCGCAACAGCATACAAACACGAAACGACACCAGGAAGATCCACCCATGTGGATACGGTCCATTAACGAGCACGGCTGGAACCTGCCCTACTACCTCCTGCGCTCGCATTTCCATGGTCGGCCTCAGTGGCGTCCTTCGCAATCCTTCGCCTCTTTTGAGATTGGCCTGAGGCGCGAGAACCATCTAGGGCGAGATCTAAGTGCGGGTCCATCAAGCTCTTCGATTCGTCAAAAGTAGAATTCGGAGTCGGAGAACCAGCAGCCCGCTTTGACGTCCTCGTCAATCTGGCCTTATCTTTCGCGCTATTGTTCGTCTCGTTTGCCTTGACCGGCCTCTCGAGATAAGCCTTGGGGATGTATTTATTGAGCTGAGTCCATATCTCCATAATACCACGGCAGGTGAGAAGGAGGGATCGGAAATGTTGAGGAACGTTATAGATGGTAAAGTCTCGTGTCGCCAAGGCCAGTACCTTTTGTCCCGCGTTCCAGATTGCAGCTAGAGGATGAATCCAAGACTCCACAGTCACGCCCGCGTTACCTAAACCCCAGTTGGGATTATCAGAAGTATTTTGACACACAGCGGTCTTCAGGGGCCACGACTTCAGTGGGACGACGTGGAAGAGCTGCCTTTCTGCGTGCCAATCATGCTATGCATACGGAATTAGGAGACGGTGGTAAAAATCATTCTAGAAGGAACACACCTCCAGCCAATTAGTGATACTGATATCTCTGGCATTCAGGGTACCATTAAGGCAGTCGTCGTGGACACTCGAGAAGTATTCGTGGACAGCATCCAAAATATGTTGCGGGGGTACCAACGCCCATCCGTAGTTGTCGAAAGATTGATGGAGATCAATACGCACTACTCCCAGGATACATGTTTATGAGAGACCAATAGAAGTAGGAGGGCAGAACGTACGATACAAGATATTGCGCGAAGAGTCGGCGTTGAAAGTGTGAGGTTTCATGCCGAGGATGAATTCGATCAATGCGTTCTGATGTCACTAGTGAGGGAGGGACCATTGGAGACCCGGAGTGGGAAAAACTTACCCGACTGCGCGCATTCCTCTCTCTCTCAATAATGTGAGCGACTGTGATAACATATTTAGTGGTCTCCCCCGTTATGATACAAATGTCTCTGTCAGGACCAACCCTCTTCTCGAGCCGTTCGATGGCCGACCGAGGCACGATCGACTTCCAGAGGATGCGATGTTCAAGTTGGGGAGTGTTGTCCACGAGCATGGGACCGCCACCGCCAGCCAGTTGGGGAGTCGAAGTCGGCAAGTGAGCCATGCTAAACGCAAGTTTGTAGGAGGGGAAGTGAGAGTCAGAGGAGAGAGAGATTTTTAGAGATTTTTATACACTCTGATTGTAGTGTCAAGCTTCGGCTTCAGGGTAGCCGCGCGGCCGACCCAACTGCCTTCCTTTCTTGAACTCCGCGCTCGCGTGGCGGGCGCGTGTGGCGGGCGAGAGCCGCGCGGCGGCCGTCCAAGAAAGGAAGGCAGTTGGGTCGGCCGACCCTCGACACGTCCATCCTGACACGCCCAGATATATATGAAGCTTTCAGGCAAGGTATTCGTCCTTCGTCTCTCTTCGCTCCAATCATGTCTCGGAAACACGCGTGCTCTGCCTCTTCGAAGGAAATCGACTACGTGAGCGATGTCACCGACCCCAATCCCTACGGTTATACAGATAAGAACCTCGAAACACCTCCACCAAGCGACCACTCTGGCGACGATTACTGCGAGGGCGATCCATTCGATTATTTTGAAGCCTCTCGCTCTCTTCGATCGGCTGATCTCAGAATCGACATGGCCGGGGGAGTCGCCTTTCACATATTGCTTCGATGGTGTATCCTCACACATGAGCCTTGGAAGGACGAGCACAGTCATCGTATTGAGGCTACTTGTGTGCAAGAGGCACATTTGATTGACAGAAAAACCTCCAGGAAATCGGTAAGCACCTCCTTGCTCCCGCGTCTCCGAATCGAGCTCGTTTGTCTGACAAGTTTCACACCTGAACTAGTGCGAGATTTTCGAAAAGATATGGTGTATTCCCAAGGGTAGATTCAGGCTTCACTCTCCCTTGAACATTGTACCTCGTGTGTTTTCATCTGACATCTCTTCCTCTTCACCTTCCTGACGGCCGTATTGGTCACTATCTTCATAGTTCGAGCCGACTGGCACAGGGGTTTAGATTGTAGAGGTTGGGTCATGCTGCCACTTCAATCTACCCTGGTTGCGATCAACGAGAATCTGAAGAAGAGTCCCAAGAACGCTGCGGCTGTCGCACCTTGGGTCCAAGAGGTCCGTTCCCTATGATAAGTGTCACCCTTGGCAATTTACTAATTGCGCTCATTAGGACGGCAAGACTAATTATCAGCGCCATCAATACATGTTCATACCTCTTGACGAGCGAAGTCGTACTATCCCCATCGCGACACGCAAGCTCTCAAAGGACCCGAAGGGCGAAGGCATCGTGACCCAAGGGGGTACAAAGGACGACCTCGTTTTCCACGACGGGGCCGCCGGGCTTAGGATCCACTCGCTTGCTCACCCCTTTCCCGTTATACGGAAGGCAGTCAAGATGTTCGGTGAACACACCAGTATGGCAGAGCTTGCTGACAATCCCTCGGAACACGCGACTTGTATGGTTTTGGCTCAGATGATATATAGCCGATGGCTCAAACTCGCGGGTGGTGAAAAGGCTTTGAACAGGCGATTTGGCGAAGATGAAAGTGATGAAGATGGGGCAGACGCAGCTGCAAATGAGGGAGACCGAAGTGGCAGCAAACAGGAACGCGACGAGTTCGACCCCTCTGGAAACGACGAAGATCGTTTGGAAGACGCCTTGAACGACGGTGAGGCACCTAACGGAGACCCCTACAGTATTGGCCCACATAGGCAAGCTTTCGACATTCCGGAAGATGCCCCTTCTTTGGTGTCCGACTCTTCTAGTGCGAAAGCTCCGAACCCCACACCGGGACCCGACTATTCGAAGAGCATTGCACTTTGGGTCGGCCCTCTTCCACGTCTCCATAAAACAACCCCCCTCCCATTCTATGACGAAGACTCGGAGAGTGAAGACGAAGAGAACGGGAAGCGTCCGTCTCGTTTGATGCCGTCCGAATCCAGGAAGGTCCTCCTCGACAGGTGGTTCAACAACGACTTCAAGGTTGCAGACAGCCCGATCTCTGTCGCCGAGGCTCGCTCTGCGCACCCTGCGAAGGTAGTAGATCCGTCTTACGAAGAGGATCGGCCTGTCGGTAGCAAGCGGAGGAGGGCGTTAACCGATGATGCGTGAAGCGTCTTTCTCCTCGTCTACATATCTAGTCTCGCTATGTCCACGCTACATTTACCGCTACATCCTGACATCGCTATGCTTCCAGTCTTCCTTCGTGTACGTTATAGAGTTGGGTGTTGATCTTTCGTATATGAAGACATTGTTGCATTCTCTCTCTTACGATGCAAGCGGAGGCGGTTCTTGTTCAAACCCTAGCAGTCGCAGCGGTAGTAATAGTAGATCATCAACGCAAGACTTAGCATCAACATCATCCGTCGTATCAATACTCCATTGTTCACAAAACTTTTCAGTATGGCTACAGCACACACACAAGGCGATAAGCTGGTCAATTTCGCAGCCCCGTTCTTCTACTAGCCTAAGTATACATCGATGTGGGAGTTTTTATTCTTGAAAATATCTCACTTAGGTCGATCGGCATGCAGACCTGAACCACAGACAAAACGGACGGTCACGAACAAACACAGCCGAACCAAAAGATGTCCATAAGATTCAGACCAAGGAAACCGAGTAACAACGCCTGGATCGTATGCACGAGACGCAACATAACATAGTTTACTCAAGACTCACTTACAAACAAATGTACATGTAGATACGATGCGATGCGACGACTGGCAGTGTGAATTACTATGCAAAAAAAAAGAGAGACGGGAAGAAAAAACAGAGATCGAAACAAAGGAGAGCGAATATGTGTATGTATACGTACGGGGTGCGAGGAAGGAGAGATGAGGCTTTAAAAGTGTAATGTGGCGAGAGGATGAGGTGGGAGATGGAGTGGTGAGAGCGGAGTACGAGGGGGCGCACTGGAATATGTCCTCTTAAGCATATGTATAAGCAGGGGCGCGAGAAAGAAAATGCGAAAGCGACAAACACAGTAACACAGAATGATAGGCAGTGACAGGGCAATTCTTAGACTTTAGTGTATGTTTCGAGGTGGAAAAAAAAGGGGGAAATCGACACCGACGGAAAGAGGCGTAACGTAACGGCACAGAAAAGAAAACAGAGGGTTAAAACGAACAGGCGAAAAAGAACCAAGAGAAAATCAGGCAAAACAGACGTCTCAAACTCCACCGCCCTCGTCCCACCTCCTCTTCATCCCCCCTCCCAGCCCGCTCGACTCCGACCCCTGGACCCCTCCAGATGCTGGCCCCCAGCCAGAAATCGCACCCGGCACCCCACCATGTCCATGACTCGCCATTCCCCACCCCTGTTGCATCTGTGCCTGCGCCTGCTGCTGCTGTTGCTGATGATGCTGTCTCATCGACTGCTCATAGCCCACATAACTCGAGTAGGGCATCGGGTTGGCATTGGGATTCGGGCCCGTCTGCGTCTGTGTCTGCGGCATACCCCCATGTACGTGACCGTGCGTAATAGGTTGAGGATGTCCATAGACGGGCTGCTGCATCGAGCCTGCCATGGGTAGATTGGAGACCGGTATCGGCAGCTGTATCGGCATCGACAACGATATCGTCCCGTTATTGCTGGTGTTGTTGCTGACGCCGCTGGGGCCCGCGACACCCATCCCCATCCCCGACGCTCCCATGCCCGAACTCACGTTACTGCTCGGGTTCAAATGCGCCCCAGACCCAGACCCAGACGCAACCGAAGCCCTCCTAACCTCCTCACTCCCCCTTTCTCTCTCCTTCTCCAAGCCCCTCACGCTCCCCTCCATGCCCTCAATCTCCGCTGCCAGTCTCTGATTCGCGATCTTCAGCTGCTGCAGCTCGTACTGCCAGCTCGACTCCTTCGCCGTTTCGAGTTCCTCGAAGATATTGCCCCGGCGGTCGAGCAGGGCAGGATACGATTCGAACCGACTGGGGTGGGGGTGTCGAGGGTGGGGCGAGGAGGAGGAAGAAGTGGGATACCGGAGTTGACAGATGATGGAAGATGATGAACGATTCGGCAGTGGTACTGACGACGCGGAGTAAGAAGACTCGCGTAACGCCGCCGCCGCATTCTCATCGTTCCCAGGATAAAACACGACCTCCAGATCGACCTCATACCCATCCTTCCTCTTCATCCTCGCCACCACGCTCTCGCTCTCCGCACGATAGCCATAGCCATAGCCGAGACCCGAGCCGGACGTCGTGGCGGTCATGTTCGTAGGCGCGTACTGATGCTGCTGAGGATGGGAATGCGAATGGTATGCGCCCGAAATAGGGGAGACGGACGACGAAGTCTGGGCAGATGATGATGACCGCTCCACGACCTTCCTCAACGCCATCTCGACCTTCTTTCTCTCCTCCATCCTCTGCCTGGTGCCCACATCCTGCGTCTCAGACCCACCGTTCGCCGCCGTCGCATGCGCACCTCCATACCCACTCATTCCCGCCCACTCCATCGCAGCCCCAGAAGTCGACGTCGACGTCCCTATCCCGACCAGATCCGCCACGGACATCCCAATAACCTCACCCACGCCCCAACCGAGCAAATCCTTCACCGCAGCCCCCATGAACAGCACCGTGCCCCCCGCACTCCAGATCCCCCACACCTCATTCTCCTTCTCTCCTTCCTCGTCCCCATCCCCGTCCGCAACCCGTCCCTCGCCATCCTTCTCCGCCGCCATCTCATCGCCACCGTTTCGCGCTCGCTTCGACAATCGGGACGCATTCGGAAACGAAGACGGGGACAAGGAAGATGCGGGCGCAGGCGGAGGCGCACGCCCGACGGCGTTCCACTCCAACCTCGGCACCTCCCTCGACCTAGCCGACAGAATGATCGCCTTCCTACCCTTCCCCGGCTCGATATGCAATCTCCCTCTACACTCCACCCAGACATACTCTCCCTCTTCCTCTCCATCGTCCTCGCCTTCTCGCTTCCGCTTCCGCTTATTATCACCCTCTCCTTCACCACCCTCCGTCTCGCTCTCCTTCCCGCCTCCGGAACCAGACGCAGGGACCGAAAACGACCACCGCACCCTCCCCTTCGTCTTCGCCCTAAACAAAAAATTAACGCTCTTCGGCGCTCCCATCCCTATCGCTGTCCCCATCGACCCTGCCCCCGTAGCTGGTCCACCCCCCCAGTTCCCCCCAAACATACTCTGCCCCTGTCCCTGTCCCTGCCCCTGCTGCCCCGATGCCTCCGACTGCACAGCGCCAATCCCACCCCCACTCGATTCCTTCAACTCCCGCATGAGCGGCACCACGTCGCTCTTGTGGCAGAAATCAACTACAGACTTCCCCGCGAGCTCTTCGGGCTCGAACCCGAGCACACGTCTGACGCTGGGCGCGACGTAGAGGAAGGTGCCTTTGAGGGAGAGGACGACGACGAAGTCGGGTGAGGAGTCGAGGAGGAGGAGCGAGAGCGGGTTGTTGCTGTCGTAGTGCTCGTGTTGCTGTTGGAGAGTTGGTGGTTTGGAGTCGTCGTTGGCATTAGTAGGCGAAGTCGGCGAGGAAGGAGAGGAAGGGTCCCCGGAAGAGCTTTGTATCTGAGCACGGGCGTGTGAGTGGGGAGACGCTGATGAGTAGAAAGCGGGATCCGCGAGGAGTGCACGGAGGTCCTTCGACACTGCGTTACTGGCATACGAGGCATTCCTCCTGTCCCTCGCGGTGCTGCCAAAGCCATGACTACCCACTACAACGGCCGGAGGCAGACCACTCGATGGCGGTAACGTGAAGTTAGTCGAGTAGTTGACCATATAACTCCCGTCCTTCAACTTCTCCAAGATCGCACTCGGCTGCTCCGTCAAGTCCACCTGGAATCCGACATGATAAACGACCTCCTCAGACTCCTCCGGCGCATTGAGCACGCCTCCGGTAACGGGGATAACGGAAACGAGATTGATAAACTGGGAGCCGTTCTTGCGATAGTTCACCATCGACGTCTGGCATTCCTTGTCGGCGACCAGAGACTTGCGCATGTACGCCACCGCGTCTGGGCTCGTATACTGCCTCTTCTCGCCTTTAGCTACATTTCCCTCTGGAGCCTGCAAGAAACGGCAATTACGGCCTAGGACCTCGTGCTCAGGGTAGCCCGTGAGAGTATAGAACGATGGCGAGGCGTAGACGACGGGCGAGTCGTATCTTCGCGTATCGACGATGACGAACGAACAAGACATGTCGACTGGGCCGAGCATGATTTTGGGGTGCGGACGAGTCGCGACGCGAGCGAGGATGGAGAGAAGGTCAAAGCCTGACGTCGAATATACTGGGAGGCCGAGGGCGGAAGGGACGGTGAATGGAGCTAGAGGTCTTCCGATCGAGCCACGACCGAAATGGGGTAGCAATTGGTTGAGAGAATGAGGGACGACCATGGGTCCGCTGCCATCCTGCCTAACGGAGGATGGAACGATGGTGTGAGGTGGGGGTGGTGGACCTTGGTGCTGTTGGGGCGATGGAGGGACGGCGGATTGTGGAGATGAAGTGTATGGTTGGAAGGAAGCTGTTGCGGCTGACGGGTCGATGGTGAGTGATGCGTGGTTGGAGTAATCGTTTGAGGAGGATGAGGCATATCTGTTGATATCGTGAGCCTGTGATGCTTGTGGCGTGCACAACATGACGCAGAGTAGATCATTCAGAGTATGGCCCGGTGACGAAAGCTCAAACAATACGCGCTTCATAAGCAGAGACGGTGAACACGGAAGGCATCACCTGTCCAAGACGCATACCCAGAGAAAAACAGACATGCCAGCATCTCGACGAAGAGATCGGGGCGGTCCTATGCATAACGACATAAAGGCACAGGCCACCATGCGACATCTTACCATACGGGGCCACAGCAAACTCTGATATGTACACCCATTCAATTCGCTCCAGGGTCGCCGTAATGTACGATCCGTGGCATGAGAACACGCATACATCGACTGTGTATGCGGTGGATATGTGCGCTCCGACGCAACAGAATGCACGAAAGCGACATGGCTCGAAGTTGCCATGGCGCACCGCAGGCCCCACGGCGAGAAACTAGACGATGAAAAAAATTAAGAACGCACAATTGCTCTCCAGTCTTTCCAAACCCAGAATTCTGAAACCATTGATTACCAGCGAGCGAGCTCATTCCAGCCGGCGAGGAGAACATGCCCGCGGGCAACACCTCCGCTCCTCCTCCCAGTGCGAGCGTCGGTGGACCGGCATACATGAACTGCGGCATCTGAAACTGTATCGGCCTCGAGAACGTGGCGGAGTCGAGCTGGCCATCGTGCGCGTCGTACTGTGGATGGATGTTACTCTGCTGGTGTGTTTGCTGCGACGAATGTGAGTAGCCGTCATCGACGGCGGACGACTGGGACGGTTGTGGCTGCTGGAGATAGCGTTCGAAAGGCATCCTGGGCGGATCAAGCGCGGCTTGCTCGTCGCCGGCAACGATGAGCAGAGGGATACGTAGGACGTGGAGTGCGTCGAAGAGGCAATAAGAAGGAAAGGAAAGGAAAAGGAGGAGCGGGCGTGGGGCAAACAGCAGTCGGCGCACGAAATTGAGACGGGGATGAATAACCCCATTTCGAGCGCCGACCATATCCCCGGCAGGCGCGGCCGAGGCCTCCCCGAGCTTGGCGCGACGTCACTCGTCCCGATCTGGCACTCCGCTCCTCGTTCGTGGACGCGCAGATCTCCTCCGCCGCACTCACCGTCCGCTCGAGTACATAACCCCGTATAAATAGCGAGACCTTCCAAGCCATCGACGTCCCCTCCTTTTCACGTCCACAAGTCCTCCCCTGGTCCGCGCACACTCGCACGCGAGCTGTACGAGAACGGAGCTACTAATGTTTACCGCAACATACAAAGTTGCCGGAAAATACATACGGACACACCAATCAGCTGCCAAGATGCCCTATGTGTGTCTGGACTCTGCCGTGCCTTGGCATACGCGCGTGGTATAGCAAATCAACCAAGACACGGTGTTCATAACAGCCCAAACCATCGTCGTGACACAGATACAGTGATAGCACCCGACGCCACGACCAGCGCCACTCCCGCCTTGGCCAGCTACCCCAATCTGCGTCGACGCCAACTCTCGCACGAGCGGAGCGTGCGAAATCGACGAACGAGGGAAACTGTCAGATCCATCGTCTGAACTTCCGGATTTATACAATCACTTCACTTTAAGTACTGCGCTAGAGAATTCGTGGTAGTAAGTAGACGTCCAGTGATGGCTGGAATACGATCATTCATGGCCAGTGTGTACTTCTATACCACCCACGCAATCGCAAGGAAGCGCCTCCTTAGTACGGCCGCGGACGCGACCTTCAAGCTTAGCTTCGTCAGCGGGAGCGGGAGCGCCAAGCACCCTCCCTCCGCCCGGGCGTCCATTTGAGTATACGTATATATATTGCTCTTGTGTCACTACGATGAACGTTCAGGTTCTTCAAAGTCCGAATTCACCGTTGCGACCCCGACTTGCAATCAAGTACTAGTCAACCCCCGGGCTATCCGGGGACCTATAATATCAAAGTTGGCTCGTTCAAGAACAAGGGCCTCCTCCAAGTCGCAAGAACAGACGCCATGGCGAAATAAATATATGAAACATTATTATAAACCTGTCTATCAACCTCGACGCTTCTAAGTTCTTGGTCCACGGCCGCCGACTCAACGCGGAAGCACCGCAAGCAAGCTCCACAACTGTGGGGGCTAGTACTTTCGACGTCGGAAGTGGTACCGTATCTGTCAGAACGTCAGAATATGGCCATGGGTGCAATAAGGTGCGGAAGAGGAGTCAAAGATGTCATATAACGATCGAGCAGAATGCAGACGTTCGAGGAGGTTTTTTTGGCATAATATATTTGCAACAATCAAACAATGGAAAAGATCAAAACAAAAAAAATGTCGTCCAAGCGCAATGCCATTCGAGCCATCCAAATCTAGCTATCGAACAAGACAAAAAATAGACCGACTAAGATCATAAACGCCAAGAGGACATATCCATCTTCGCCCCTTTTCCCCTAACCAGGAGCCACATGTCTCGGCTCGAGTAGTGAATAGAGGGGCGTAATAAAAGTAACAACACAGAAACGACGAAACGCAGAAACAAAGCAACAAAACATAACACACGTCGCACTCGGAACACAATGATCAACTCACTGCTCAAGGATGATGACGGATCTCACACAAGGGTCACTCGACGACGCACACAGCAGCCGACTGATACGCATGGTATTCAACCGTTACCTCGCCAACGATACGTGTAACGTACATGTCAGACGTCCGACAACGCCACGAATCCCAATCATAGATGCAAAAGGAAAGAACGAACAGATCAGCACAGGCCTTAAGCCTTGAGCTGGTTGCGCAAGTTCTGCTCCAAGGGGCCCTTGGGGCGGATGAACTGCACGTAAGCACCGTCCCTACACGATTCAAAGTCAGCAACGTCCACACATACCCGCGTGCATGAAAGGCAGGGCAAGAAAGATACGCACTGGATCACCCTCTTATCCTCCTTCAACTTGGGGTAGTCCTCCCTGTTGACGTTCGTGAAGCCCCACTTGCGCGAGACGATGATCTTCTGCCTTCCGGGGAACTTGTAGCGAGCACGACGGAGAGCCTCCTGGATGACGGGGGCGTTTGCGTCCTTGCAACGGATGGAAAGGATGATCTGGCCAATGTTGACACGGGCGACGGTGCCGTAGGGCTTGCCCCAAGCGCCACGCATACCGGTCTGGAGCCTACACAACACACCAACACATCAGTCAGCTCTCTCCGCACACCATTGCGGGATGACAAAGCGTGGAACGCACCTATCGGCTCCGGCACACGACAACATCTTGTTGATACGGATGACGTGGAAAGGATGCGGCCTTACACGCATGTGGAAGGAATCCTTGCCGGAGGTCTTGGTGACATACTTGTTGGCGCAGATACGGGCGGCTTCGAGAGCTTCCGAAGAAAGCTGCTCGTACTCGTCGGAGACCAAGTGGCAGCAGAAGGGGAACTCGTCGACGGATGCACGCTTACGGCCAAGATCGAAAATACGAATCTAAGAGCACCAGCATGTAAATCAGACATTGTACGCATAGTACAGGCGGGAGAGATGAAGGTACCTTGGAGTCGGGAACACCACGGTTGTACCTCGACTTGGGGTACGGCTTGTTCTTGCAGTAACGGTAGCAACGGGCGGGACGGCGACCCATTTTGTCTATAGAACGACAGAGCAGTCAGTAAACCATCCAAACCGCACTCTGAGGCCACAATTCATCCACAAAGTCCCATTCCCACTCTGAGCCCTAAGTCCAGGCGTGCCACCTCATCCGAACTCGCTCGTCTCAATCCATCCCTTCAAACTCTCCCAAACCGCCCAATCCACGCCCAAACCACCAGAACTTCGCACCACAGCACGAACGAAGCGAAACGGAGGGGCGTACTCACATGAGTTGTAGTGTTTCTTGAGGGAGGGGGGGAAAGAGTGCGACGACGGGGCGAGCGGCGTCGGCTTTTTGAGGGCGTGGACTCCGGGACCTGTGCTCTTTTGCTTTGTGAGCAGCTTTTGGCTGAGTGAGACCGAATGACGCAATGCTGGCTGAGTAAGTCGGGCGGTTTGTCGGCGAAGATGGGTCCGTGGGAAGGGAATGGTGGTGCGTGGACCGGTCCGATGCGGCGAATAGGGTAACGCCGAACGACTTTCTCGTCTCAAGGTTGCTCGCACACAACTTGCACAATACTTTGCTCTGTGCTGCTCTTGACAACTCTTTCCATCTAATTGATGCTCTTGGACTCTGACCGCATCTTCTCACGTCAGGATGATTCTGTTGACTCTGAAATGCATGATCAATCCGCTGGACAGGGTCTTACGGCGTAACTGTGGGTTGTCCTTGACTCGAAACGGGACCGACGAAGTGCTTTCTCATCTCCTTGGAGTGACTCGTAGGCCAGGCCGAACAGCCTATATACTCGGCCTTCTCTGCTCTAGAGTGTTAGAACTCTGTTACGGAGGATGGCGCTCTCGAATGTACATTGACATACGAGGAGGTCGTTTCACGATAATATGCAGGTCTGCATGAGCTTGTTCCGGATACACAGCCGGAATTGCGTTGCATAGGTCATCTTTTGAGTTACCCTCCAACTATGTTCGAGCGAGGATACGGCTGAGCGCACTATCTCTTGTTGGACAAGCGGGCATCTCGAGTCTGAATGTCGGCGTGTATCCAACGCTGTCGAGCGAGGATCTGGACCGACAGACGTGGCGACATCGTCCTCACTCGAGAGGAAGTACATACAATGAGACTTTCCGTGGGATTTGAGCACATCTGTTCTCTGATGTTAGACACACAGAGGCACGTCATTGGAATTTGGACGAGGAACTTCCAGCGGTTTGCAGAGTCGTAGTCGCACCCAGATTTCTCGCGGAGAAGCCTGTGCTCCACTCGGAGGCTGGAGCTGTCTCCGGCCATTCCGACGGGCCACTCTACACGGGGCCACAGTGCTCGTCCTCGAGCCAGCCTCGATGCTGCCACTTAAATATTGGGTTTTAGGACTGTGAGTTGTCAACAACACACTAGAATCACTTGTGCAATTTTTGAGATGGAGATATCTCGAAACATTGCTTTACAGTGGAGGGTGGCCCGCCGCCAGAGGACGGGTCGTGGCGCTCACAACCTGTTATGGGAGTCGGTTGCGTCAGAAGAAGCCGCAAGCCCCATCGCAGAAAAAAGCGACTGCGACTACGATTCTGCAAATTGCTGTCAGAGTTCTAGAGAGTGTGTGTGCTCATGGCGCCTTGTAATACTTGATATCATCGCCGCAAGGTTGACACGGACATGGATATCCCATAGGTCTGCTTTGGAGGATCTCTTGCCCCAGAATCTCGCAATAAATGCCTGTATTCCCCTCGCCTCCATCTCGGACAACATCTTAGACTTGTCACATCGTCAACGTATACGTACCGTCATTCACCTCTCTCCCACCTTCTTCCTCTTGACTTTTGACTACATCCCTCGCGTTCGTTAACCTTGAAGGGTTGTCCCACATCGGCACAGTAACATTACCGCTGGCTGATCTTTGGTCGTCCCGCAAGCTTGATAAGCGAAGTACGAGCCCCTTCAAGTTGACTGAAAGACCAGAAGGACCAGTCAACAATCCACGAGCGATGATTTGACATCCTGACCATGCTTCCACCTCCTCCGGAAATTATCTTGCTTGGGCAGCCATGAAGCTGAAGTAAGAAAGGAGTCGAAGTGGAGGGACCGGGCAAGTCATTGTTGAGATGGTGGTATTTGCCTCAGTTTTTCACATAACAAGCTGGTTTTCAGAGGCGGGGTGGAAAGATCAGACGGCGAGGATCCAGGACCCATTAGACGGATATTAGGAGTACAATACTTGTGCGCATTAGGCGTCCGTAACGCACAGCAGCACAGCACATATTCTACCCAAGGCGAGCACCAGTATTGTCTGGCACGGATTTGGCTTTGGTCGTAAAATGCAGGCAGGAGGACAGAGCTGACGGGAAGACGCTGCTTATAACACTCCTGTGACCGAGAATACCGCGTCATACGTATCTAGCGATAATCTAGTCCTGAGACGAAGTGATAATGCGACGATGGGGTGCACTACTTCGTCTCACCAGCGTGTCGCAACAAGCATGGTGCAATAGGTCATCTGAAGGATGGTCCTCTATATCAGTATACTATACTGTATGTATGAGATGGTGACGACCAGTAGATAAAAAATATTAACCTCGTGTGACCATCTGCAATGAAAGACCCCCCTGATTGGCCAAGGGACCATGCCATTGGATCGAGTAGACACTATTAGCTGCAGGGAGCTCCTAACCGTCGAACAAGAAGTTGTCTACACGAATAAACTCGAGCCGTAACGCTCTCCAAAAGCAGATATCGACGTCTATCATTGGGCAATCATAGCCAACGGTCCACCGACAAAGGAGTCACAGGCGCGTCGCGTCCTTGTTCCACTCCCGTCACTCCCTTCGATAGAATAGGATAGAATACAATTGAACGATTCACGCTCACCGAAATGACCGCCAGAGCCCCAAATCTCACAGTCATGTCATGTCGCCTGTCGTCGTCACCTACGAATACTCACACACGCGAAGTTTCCACAGGGGTCGCCACCTCGGGAACAAGTTTGAAGAAACGACAAAGATAGGATGATCAAACGCCAGACTGTCGGAGCAAGTCGGACACCAATAAACATCACGAAGTTTCTCTTGCTGGAGCGTTTGCCGCAAGACAACTGCTTGTTGCGTACTATAAGTATAGGCTCGCGTTGACAATTCATGGATGGACATCTTCCATACCTCGTCCTTCGCAACACTTTGTTGGATGTCGGCCGAATCAGGAATAGATGCCACGGGGTGGGAAGGAACGCAAAAAGGGACAGAGGTCTGCCGAGAGCGACCGCTTGAAATTGCGTCTCGGGACGCTGCGGCCTCGACTGGGAGATCGGAAATACGAAAGAGACTCCGGCGTTCCAGTGCAAGGCCTGAGACCTTATCATCTTTGCGCCAAGGGGACCTCTGTTGATCTTCCGCTTTGTTGTTCAGCGGTGTGACAGCTGTAAGGTCTCCGGACGAGATGCAAGGAGTCCATGGGGGATAGAGGAGTGTGTGGGTGGGACGTGCCTTGCGATAAGTGAAGCAGAAGGGGGTGGATGGAGAGTGGTGGCGGAGAGAGTGAAGGGAGGCGAGCGGACGTTACCCCGCATGATTGATTGACAGCTCGCGTCATGTATCCCAAGAAGGAGAAGCCGGCGGAATCGAAAACGTGGCAAACGAAAGTCCGACTGTTTGGTGGTCCCCGAATCCTATCCAGCGCTTGCCGTTCGATCTCCTTTCTTCCACTTTCCCAACGACTCCCTCCTCGCTGACGCCTCCCATGTCGTCCTCCATCTACGCCGTCCGTCCGCCCCTCATCCTCTCCCCCCCGTTTGCCACTGACATAGACGTTGTATTCACAGCATAGGAGCCTGCAGCCGACAGGGCCGCCGGCCCAGGGCCCTTCTACCCAGGCAGCCGGCACTCGACTCACAGAATGCTTCGAGACCATTAGGCAAGAGTTTGATGTGCTCACGCAAGACCTCAATCTGCTCCGTTCCCAGCGAGACGATTTTGAAAACAAAGGTATGTTCGTTCTTTCTTAGCTTAAATTGCCGTGCGTGGTTGTTTGCATGTTCGATTTCAAGCGGACGACGTATGGACGATGATGGCGCAGACGTGGCTCGTACCGTCCTCCTTGGTCTGATGCACATCTCGATTTGGTGCATTGCACGAGGGAGCACGTATAGAACTCGCCATCTCCGTGCCACAGCTCTGTCCCCGCCGCGTTCCGATGCGCGTTGCCGGGTCAATCCTTCGTACCTTTTCTCCTGACTTTTCAGATCGCCATTTTCCCGCCTTTTTTTCATGTGCGCCCCTGGCAAACTTACGCTCACACGCATGAAATGAGTGGATTATTGCCACCCGTTGCCCTTCGAAATCGACTTCTCGACGAGAGGGCATACACCTCACGAGGCTACGCTCCCACCCCACCTTCTATCAGACTACAGCAGGCTATTCTCGTCTGGGATCCGCGGCGCTGGTCTCGCCTCATCCCATCACATCGCACATTTCTTATTCGAGCGTGGATGGCCCCGAGTGTGTAGTTTCGCCCATCTAAACTCGACTTGGCAAGCTCGTGCCAGTGCTCGGCCACTTTCGCTTGTCTTCTTTTCTCGTGGTGGAGCACGGCACCATGGGCAATGGGCAACGGGCACAGAACGAACGCTCTCCATTTGCGGTTACAACCCAAGTTTCGTATTTTCGTGGCTGGATGGCGAGAATGGAGACAGCTGGAGAAGAGCTTCTGAGAAGACTGAAGACTTGCCTTTTTGACGACGGAGAGGCGCCTCGGGCCTCTGATCCCTTGTTCCCAATCCGCGCTCAAAGTCGTTTGCATCTCCAAGCGCGACGGTCTCGCCGTCCTATCATCGCCACATCAATTGCGCACTCGAACCACTCCGTGGTGAGACGTGGCTGAGAGGTTGATGTGGCTAGCCAAAACGAGGAACGATCATCCTCAGAATGGGACCGTCCTGCCCAAAGACGGCGCCAAGTGCGTGGGCAAAGTCCTGTCAAAGCGCCTGGGTCAGCAGATACGAAACGGGCACAAATGCTTCCGTCTTTGACTCTGTGGGCGCTTGTTGTTTTCTGAGTCGTTCGAGGTCGTTCGCCATCAATAAACAAAGCGATTTCCTATCCTGTCATCTTTATTTCCGTAACGAGTCCACGAAATCGATACTGATGCGCCTCCTTTCTCTTTTCGGAAAATAACAAACAGTCTCGTCTCAAGTGAACGAGCTCAACATCATCCGCCAATCCCTCTACGACCTCGAAGCCCAACATGGCAAAATTCGACAACAATACGAAGAAGAAATCAACCGCCTCCGACAAGAACTGATGTCCCGCCCTCCCGCCACCGGCCCCGCCGTGCCCCTCAACCCAAACGCAGCGGGCATCAGCGGTCTCGCAGGCGGCGCCGGCATCTCTGGCATCGGGGGACCCGGTGGCCCCAGTGCGAACGGGGGAGGGATGGGGCCTGGGGGTGTGCTTGGGACGCCGGGGATGGGACCTGCGGGTGGAGGGCCGATGGGGCCTGGGTTGGCGGGGACGCCGGGGGTGGCGAGCGCGGGTGGGTATCCGGGACCGGGGGGGCCTGGGGAGGGAGGTTTTTTTGGGAGAGAGAGGGAGGGGATGGATACGCGGGCGAGAGAACGAGACAGAGAGGGGAGAGATCGGGACAGAGATAGGGATAGGGATGTGAGGATGATGGATAGGGATAGGGATAGGGACGTGAGGATGAGTGACCGGGACAGGGACAGGATGGGGGATCGGGACAGGATGGATAGGGATCGGGAGGCGAGGATGAGTGATCGGGAGAGCAGGATGAGCGAGAGAGAGAGGATGGAGAGGGACAGGATGATGGACAGGGAGCAGCGAGACAGAGATCGTGACCGTGACCCGAGGGATTCGAAAAGGATCAAAGTGGACAGAATCAAAGTCGATAGGCCTGGTTAGTATCCGTCTCCTCTCCTCTCCTCACCTCTCGCCCATTCTTCTTCCTCCGTCTCCTTCTTTCTTTCTCTGGTCTTCCGTCTCCGTGTATTTCTACCCGTGGCTCACTCAGGCGCTTGACTATCTATCCAAAATTCTGCTATGCTTCGCGTGACGCAAAACTCTTTCCCGATTCCCACAGAGCATTATAGTCCCTCCCTCAGCCAAGGCGGACCCTCCCAACCCCCTCAACACCCATCCCAAATGTCAAACCCCGGCGGTCCAGTCAACCCTCCCCCAAACTCCTCCCTCGTCAAACTCCCACCCACACCCGGCGGCCCCGGTCTCCCCCCGCCCAACGCAGTCCCGTACGGTCCCCCTCCTCCCCCCGGCATGATCACCAACTCCGGTCCGCCGCCCCCGTCCTCCGTGGCGCCACCTCCACCACCGCCGCCACAGCAGCCACAGCCGACAGCGAGCATCAGTGGGCCACCGTCGGCTAGTCAGGGAGATGGTCCAGGTCCGTCGAGCGCTGTTGGAGCGGGTGGGGCGTTGGTGCCGATTAGTGGGAGTACGAATGGGTTCCCGGATGATTTGGATCCGCAGAATGTGCCGCCGGAGTTGAAGAAGGAGGGGAGCGATTGGTTCGCGGTGTTTAATCCGAAGGTGAAGAGGGTGTTGGATGTGAATTTGGTGCATACGCTTATGCATGAAAGGTGCGCTTTTCTTGGTGCTCTCTTTCGTGAGATGTGAACGGCGGGAATTGATGGATGGTGCAATGGCGATGTAGTGTCGTGTGTTGTGTGAGGTTCTCGGCGGACGGGAAGTATCTCGCTACAGGATGCAATCGCTCAGCTCAGATTTATGACACGAAGACGGGAGCAAAGACTTGGTCAGTCATTTCGTGAATTTTGCACTGCGATGACGACTGACAGCTCGTCCCAGCACCTTGATCGACCGTGATGCGAACAAGACCGGAGACCTTTACATCCGAAGTGTATGCTTCAGTCCAGACGGCAAATACCTCGCCACCGGTGCCGAGGATAAACAAATCCGCGTAAGTTATTTCCTGCCTTCACCATACCTTCTTCAACATCTGAGACCATACCCTTCCGCCCCAGATCTGGGACATCAAAACCCAGCGCATCCGCAACATCTTCGACGGCCATCAACAAGAAATCTACTCCCTCGACTTCTCCCGTGACGGCCGCCTCATCGTCTCCGGCTCCGGCGACAAAACCGCCCGTATCTGGGATATGCAAGACGGTTCGTCCAAAACGCTCACCATCCACGAACCCGAAGCGCCCGACTCCGGCGTCACCTCCGTCGCCATCTCACCGGACGGCCGACTCGTCGCTGCCGGTTCGCTCGACACGATCGTTAGGATCTGGGACGTGCAGACGGGGCAGTTGGTGGAGCGGTTGAAGGGGCATAAGGATAGTGTGTATAGTGTGGCGTTCACGCCGGACGGGAAGGGACTGGTCAGTGGCAGTTTGGATAAGACGTTGAAGTATTGGGATGTGAGGCCGATGTTGGCGATGGCGGGGAAGATGGTGCCGGGGCCTGGGTCGACGCCGAATGGGAAGAAGGAGGGCGGTGAGAAGTCGAATTGTATGATGAACTTTACGGGACATAAGGTACGTCTTGCTGTGTTTTGCTCGTGTGTGGAGAGGTCTCTGATGCACGAGTCTTTGGATAGGACTATGTGCTTTCGGTGGCTGTATCACACGACGGTCAGTGGGTCGTATCAGGATCGAAGGATCGCGGAGTCCAGTTTTGGGATGCGAGGAGCGCTATCGTGCAATTGATGTTGCAAGGCCACAAAAACTCTGGTATGCCCTTCACCGCAAACCGTGCTGCGACATTCGTGCTAATCCGTGTCTTTGTATCAGTCATCTCCATTGATCTCAGCCCGGCAGGAAGCGTTCTCGCGACCGGCAGCGGAGACTGGCAAGCCCGAATATGTGCGTTTGTTCATGCCCGTCCTAATAAGCCTTTCTCGCTATCGGCCTAGCTGACTCATTCTGGTTGATCGCGTAGGGAGTTACAACACGGTCTGATCTTCTCGGTTTTCTTCGTCCATCGAACAATGTATATCATGGTTTTCTCCTTGCTTCCGAGCCCTCTTGCTTCCTCCGAAAATTCGGCCTGCTCTTTCTTGTCCTTCGTTTCTTTGTTTTTTTTTTCTGAGTTGCGCTTTCTCTTCTTCTTTCTGGGGTTCGTGTGATATTGCCTGAAAACGCACGATGCCATTCTCAGCCCCGCCGTTTCTCTCTTCCTTTCATTTTTTGGCCTTCGCCTCATCGTGCTCACGGGTTCCTTTGCGACCTCCTCCGTCCGAATCGAAGCTCCGTATTTATATGCAAGTTGCTCATGCCCATGCCCATGCGCCTGCGTATGAGTATATGTACTACCCTCCCGCCAACTCTAACTCCCTCCCCCTCGCGTCCGTACCTTCCGAGATACGTGCTTACGATACATACGTTTGTTCTTTCGTTTCTTTTCCTCTCTCGAGTCTCCGACCCTTTCTTCTCTTTCCATTTTCTTTGATTCGTGCGATGCCGTTTTGAATGTTGTGTTCCTGTGCTTCCTTTATCTCTTGCTGCTAGGTCCAGTTCTTGCAATATATAATGAATGAAGAACTCAGTGAAAGCGTCTCTTGATGGTATGCCCAGCATGGCGGTTCTTCTTGACACAAGTACCACAGCACCAACGAGTGACACCCAAAGTTCTGAGACCGGGAGCAACCGGAACGGGCCGTCGCGGTCCGACGTACTGTGCCGGACCAGGATCCTGGACAGATGGGCTTTCTTGCTCATTCGTTCAAATTTGTGTCTATGACTTCCAGGGAAAATGGCACATATATATGGTACAGCATGTATTGAGTACTGTGACAAATATTTGGAGAGTGTGATGCAGTAAAAAATCATCAACGAATATTTTGCGACGACGACTGGCGAAAGTGGCAAAACAGGGAAGCTGGACGCGCGCCAAAAGGGCCCGGCCATTGCCGAATGGGTGGCGAAAAGCAAGTCAAAACGCGCCACACCCCCTTGCCCACCGATTTCGTACACATTCTCGTTAGAGGACCAGCAGCAAAAAGGAGCCATATCGTTTTATTATACATTACTCTATCTGCGTAAATATTTGTGCCCTGCTGCACAATGTTCTGCGCATGAAATTCATTCGGATGTTTGAGAGGTCCAAAATCAGCCACTTCGAGAAAATTGTGCTCTCTAGAGCCGAAACAGTCTGGTAAAAATTTCCAGACCGTGGTAGAGGAAGTATTTGCTTTAGGCTCAAAGACTATCAACTTTTTGTATGAGGAAGATCAAAGATGCTGAAGCTAGAGCCTGACCAAGTGGGAGCGTCTTGTGGCGCCTTGGCTAGAGGATCCCCTCAAAAAAAGAGGACACGCGCAAAAGTAGGCAACCGTTGTCTGCGAGAATAATTCGGAATCACTTAGAACGGGTCCGCATTCATGCCCTACATATATTTTTACGAGCAAATATGTTGATCGTAAGGGCTGGTCGAGGTGTCCATGTCGGTCGGGTTCCCAGGATGTGGCAAAATTGCCACACAAGGGCCATTTCCGACAGCATTTCACCATCTTCTACAAAATACTCACTAGGATTACACAAAATGTATTTGCATACCACAAGGGAAGATGTAGACCTATAGGTTATGTAGAGGTGCAAAGACATGAATATGCGTGCTTAAAATTCCAGAAACGTTTGTCCAGCTTCTATGTCCGTCCAGCTTCCTAGTCCGCCACAGTAATTGAAGGAACCCCGCCCAACAACAAGCGCCGACGGCGAGTGTTCGACAGCTGCGTTGACTCCGATTTGCACGGGGCCATGGCAGATTATATACTGGAACCCTGTCGAGTGCTCTGCTGTTGACATTGCTCTCGATACCTGAGAGACGCGTACATAGTTGTCTCAGGTAAAACGCTTAAAGGTGAGAAGTGACCACTTCAAACAGACCAGAAGGCTTGACTGAATAATTTCTGTCATTATCTCACCTTAGTGTTCCCCTTCAGATAGCCTGACCGCCATCAAGAAGCGTTCCTTTGATCTTTGAAAGATCTGATGTCTACGATGGACTCCGACTTAGATCTTACGCTGCCTGAAACACACCTGGCCGTGCGATGGTATCCGCCATCCTATGACATCCGGCTGGAACGTGTCCCTACACCGAAGTAAGAGCGTCTCTGGTTTAGCCCGATTGTTGAGAACAAGAGCTAATATACTGGTTCACTCCCATTCTCAATTCTTTACCATCCTCCATCTGCCTCACCAGGATCGAACATCCAGATGATGCTATTGTCAAAATTAAAGTATGTCACCACCATTATATTCGCCCTTACTTTGCGATCAGTCTTTGCTTTTCACCGTTGCTTATCTGCGTAAAGTGGAACTTCCGCTGACTGTGTACCTTTTCCATTCAAGTTCTCTGGACTTTGCGGGAGTGATCTGCACGTCTACCGGTGCGTACATATTTCTCTGTCGACCGAACAATAACACCGCACCTGGCCTTGTATCCCTCCGAAGTTCCTCATCACTATCTTGTTCATGTTGCTTACGACGCTGATGCTAACAACAGCGGTCACGAAGACGTAGACGAGCTGTGAGTACTTCCAGAATTAACTTCTAGCACTCAAGGATTTGACTCGTGTACTGTTCGAACACGCAGGCATGTGTGTGGACACGAGTTCATAGGCTATGTCGTTGCCCTAGGCTCCTCGTTCACGTCGTCGTCTCCCAAGAGTAGACCTGCATTGTACGGCACTCTGAAAGTTGGAGACAAGGTCGTCTCTCCGTTCACAACGTCCTGTGGTGAATGCAGGTCTGTCGTTTCCTCATGGCACTAATTGAGATACAACTCATGTATTGAATATAGACGCTGCCGATTAGGCTTCACTGCTCGCTGTGAATCGTCTCTTTTGTTCGGTTCACCACGTCTTCCGGGTGCCCAAGCTCAGTATGCCCGTATTCCTCACGCTGGAGGAACACTTTTTGCTCTCCCTACTGGTAAGCTCCGCCAGTCCACTAGTCTCGTTGTCCTTCTGAATTCCTGCGTATATTATACCCTAACCTGATCATGCCATCGTTACAGACACGCAGTCAACCTTATCGAACCCTTCGCTCTCGAAGCTCACCGCCCTCCCTGACCCGACTCTCATTCTACTCGCCGACATCCTGCCAACAGGTCTCTCCGTTGCTCTCAATGCTCTCATGCATCCCAAGTTGGCGCCTATACTTCACGGGAAAGCTTGGCCCGGTGAGGCGGCAGGATTGCTCTCCGGTAGCAGCGAAGGAATAGAGCAGGAAGGTGCGGAAGGGACTGCACCGGTGAGAGACGAGGACCGAGTATTGACGGTTGGAGTCGTCGGTCTGGGTCCGGTTGGTCTCGTGAGTTCTTCACTTCTCCAGTACTTCATTCTAAGTCCACGTATTTATTCCTAATATTGTGTAACTCCAGTGCGCATTCCTCAGCCTGCTCGACCTTCTCAGTAACCCGGCCAACCTCGCAACCTCCGCGCTTCGCTTTCGCCTCATCGCAGTCGATCCAAATGCTGCACGTCGCGCAAAACTCAGCACAATCATCGCGTCCTTGCCTACAGAATTGAAAGGATCGTCTAGAGGAGAGTTCGAGGTCTGTGGTATTGATGAGGCGAAGGGTGTCCTGGAGAGACCTGGCTGGGGCGGTGGCTGTGACGCGGTCTTGGAGGTTGGTCGATCCGTCAAATTCCCTCCAATATTCCTTCTTCTCGCCTTCGCCTCCGATAATGCGAAAAACGTCAATCGTGAGCTGAAAAATACTTCATCTGTCTACAGGTCGTCGGCAATCCCTCGGCACTGACTCTCTCTGAATCTCTTCTCTCCCCGTCCGGAGTTCTCTCCTCCTGCGGCGTCCATCAAGCCCCTCCCGTTCCCTTTACCGGTCGCGACCTCTATAACGCAAGCATGAGCCTCGAATTCGGACGTTGCAACGTGCGGAGCGTCTTCGCTATGAGTTGCGGGGTTATGGCCAGGATGGGAAGTGTTTTCGGGGCAATCGGGGGTGAAGGTGACGGTGGAAAGGACGTGGGGGTGGTGGAGAGAGTGCTTCCGTTGAGTAGGGTGGTGGAGGCATACGAGAAGTTCGAGAGGGGGGAGTGGGGGAAAGTAGTTTTCGATCCTTGGGCTTGAGCTTTCTTTCCGTGAAAGCACAAGTCAGAAGGTGAAAGAGTGGTGGAAAGGAAACTGAATGAATATAAGCACAAGGTATGGACCGCTCAACACCGTTTTTTGATAAGTGGCAATATTGACATGATGATACTGCATACAGTTATGTGCATTGCGATGTATAACACGACTACTACTTTGATATGCGAATAAGACGGTGATTTAAAAACCCAAACGCACTGGTATCGCGAACAATACTAGTATAGACGCCGTGAATACGAGTCGTAAAGGTGAACCCGACGTCGACGCTCTGGACTGTACATCATTAACAGTGAGTCTCATATCTACAATATTATTGGTTTATGGACAGAACTAACACTGTGCACGGCATCGTTTCCCGGTATGATCTGACCTGCTTACGTCTGCGAGAGCATAACGGGGCCCGTAGAAGGGTCGCATTGTTCTACTTATTCCTTGCTTGAGGTCCCTTGACACGGGTCTTGCACTGCTATGCATCAGTGCATCGCAACCAGTGCCTCTCTGAGTAATCTATCTTTTCCTCCCAGGCTGCGTATCTAGTTCATTCTCTCTCACACACCCCGAAGGCCCTTTCGCCTTGCAAGCCGATAGGACTCGTATGATCGGCTGCTCTGGAGAGGATACAGTTAAAAGCTTCCTTGAAAGCCTATGGAGCCCATCACAACACGAACAGAACCTGCTCGACGCCGTACCCCGCAACCATAACGCCCGACAGCAAGTAAACTTTTTTTTTTCACGTTAAGTAGAACAAGATGAGCTCTGCAGATGTACTCGTGGTGTGGAAATCTCATAGCATGAATTCTAGCCATGATTGATACTTATGAAAATTATTCCATCACGTATTAGGTCGGTGCTGGACCAAGTGGCATCACTCTCGCTCTGGCCTTGGCACAGAACGGAATGTCCGTCCGCATCGTAGAGAAACTTGCTCAAATGCCTGACAGTCAACGTGGCACGGGGTCCCAGGTCAGTTCTGTCATTTCACTTTAACTATTCGCGATATTCGATTCATGTGCTGTGATGTCGACTTAGCCTCGCACCATGGAGCTCTACAAGTTCCTTGGGGTTCTCGACGACATCTTGGATGGTGGCAGGTCCTTGGTCCAGATCAAACAGTACGATGGAGAGGGCAATTACATCAAGACTGTTAGCCTTACAACTGGAGACATGTCTCCAACTCCCACTAATCCTTTCGTAAGTTTTCTTGTTGTAATCTACTGCTGTAGATTATAGGCTAATATCTTTATCTGTACCGCCAGAGACAACCTTTTTGTGTAGGCCAAGAGGTCGTCGGCCGCATCATGAGGGAGCACCTCAAGAAGCATAACGTAGACGTCGAGTTCTCTTCGGAGATTATCTCTCTGCAAGATCAAGAGAAGTTTGTTTAAGCAGGCATCAGGAAGGCCGATGGCAATATCGAGACGGCAGGATTCAAGTATATCGTCGGGGCAGATGGAGCGAGAGGTCACTTTTTCCTTGTAGTTCGCACTGTCTGGATCACTGACTATTTGTCTGTAAAGGATTCATCCGAAAGGCTATTGGACTGCTATTCCTCGGGGAGACGCGGGGCACTGCCCAATGTATAATAGGAGACTTAGAAGTACGCGACATGGACAAGGAGGTACGGATGATCTCATCTTCATGTCCTATTCACGCAAGGAGTTAACGCGCCAACTCGCAGTACATGAATATGTATGGACTTGGATCGGGAAATATGTACGTCTCAACCTCCTTATTTATACCTACGAGACTAAATTTGTGTCATCAGGGTCTTCTTTATTCTGACGAAGCAGGCATTGACAGAGAACATATTCTATACCGTGGTAAACGGCCCCAACCTGGACGTTACGAAGGCATTAGAGGATCCCGAGATCCTGTTCGAACTTCATTCGCAATGTCACGAAGAAGCCTGAGCTTGAGTTTGGTGAGATCAAGAATCTTTCGAGTTACAGGTTCGCACTTTACCGTACACCCTCTTGTCTTCTTTCCCGTGCTCATGGTCTCACCCTATAGACCCAATAATATGCGCATGGTAGACACTTTCGGAAAAGGTCATGTGTTCGTGACCGGAGGTCGACGAGCTCTCTTCGGACCTGATTGTGCAGGATCCAGGAGGCTATGCTTACGAAGCGTATGGGGTAGAGGCCGGACAGACCCGGGTTGTCATCGTTCGTCCTGATGGATGGGTTGGGGCCATTGTGCGAGGTGTCGAGGGCGTGAAGAAATATTTCATCATGGTTCTAACTACGTGACTGACAATCAGAAGTATTAAGGGAGGTGAAGACATTGTATAATTCTATCGTGCTCAGTTTCCGGTCTGCGCCGAGCTATGCTGCCTTTTGCGGTGCTCTCCGTCCAACATCTTCTAGTGAACTGACATAACTCAAAGCACATCCACAAAGACACTACTGATACGGAAATAAACCAGTACGTCTCATGCTACGTTTTCTGATCATTTGTCTGATCCATCAACATCACAATACCAGACGTGGTTTAGCAGTGCACTCTTTATTTAAATTTTGGATAGCAAGAGATTGAAGGTACCATATGCCGCAAGTCAAATGCACGGTGCCCTTCAATCTCAGTGCACACATCTTCACGTAAATCGACGGGATCTCAAAGGGACATGCGTAAACGAGGGAAAACAGCGTCATTTCCCCTCATAGATCTATGCCGTAGGACACGCGTCCAGTCGTGCCGCCGAAGAAATCCATTGTCCTAGTCGCTGCATGACCTCATTACAGACGTGACCTCATTACAGACGTGGGCCGAGAATGAGTCACAGAGCATTGTGCACCTCACAGCGGCTTTCATATCGATAGATAGCCCTCGACTTTCCGCGAGTGCACCAAACATTAATATAGATGAACCAAACAACTCCCGATCGTGCGGGAGAATATCTCGCAACCCTGTCCGTTGTCAAAGGGAAGCATCAAAACGGCCTTGCGTGGGATTTCTTTACCCCAAAGAGCGATTGTTTGGTCCGTCTATATCAAGTCTATATTGTGTTTGGCGCACTCACAAAATATTGGGGGCTATCTATCGTTTTGAAAGCCGCTGCAAGGTATCGCTCCGTTTTCTCCCTCAGGTTGCGCGTATTAATGAATTAACGCTTCAAGAACAAACTCGCGCTTCAGAAGCGGCGTTTAGCCCTGCATGCCGCTAGGACTCGCGTCGTCGGCAGAATTGTAAGAATCCACTTAAGTACTACTCACCCGCTACGGGCGTCCCATAACACGAACGAAACACGACATACTCGTTAACTATTACACCCGATAGCCAGTGAGTTTCCAACGCCTGATTCGGACACGATGAGCTCTGCAGACATACTTATGGTGCGTCAGTCTCATAGCTTCAACTTAGCATATCTGATCTTCATGAGACTCGTTTCATGATTGTATGTAGGTCGGTGCTGGCCCAAGCGGCGTTACTCTCGCCCTGGCTCTGGCACAGAACGGGGTTTCCGTTCGCATCATCGAGAAGCTTGCTCAGATCCCCGACAGCCAGCGTGGCGCAGGTTCTCAAGTCAGTTCTGCCTTGTCGCTTTGACCATCTATGAGGGTTTTTCGTATACTATTATACTGTTCTAGCCTCGGACCATGGAGATCTACAAGTTTCTTGGAGTAATCGATGACATCTTAGACGGTGGCAGACCCTCACTCAAGGTGAAACAGCATGATAGCGAAGGCAACTACATCAAGACTTTCGATTTTACGACTGGAGACACGTCGCCCACTCCAGCCAACCCCTTTGTGAGCCATACTTTCACAGTTTTCTTGATGACATGATTGTATGGGCTAACATTTCGGCATCTATGCTAGAGACAGCCTTTTTTTGTGGGGCAAGAGGTCGTCGGTCGCATCATGAGAGAACACCTCAAGAAACGCGGTGTATTCGTTGAATTCTCTTCCGAGCTCGTCTCTCTGCAAGATCAAGAAAAGTATGTCCAAGTGGGCATCAAGAAGGCAGGTGGTGCTATCGAGACGGCAGAATTCAAGTATGTTGTCGGGTCAGACGGGGCGAGAGGTGAATTATTTTTCCCCTTGTCTTGCGTTATCTGTACCCTGTCTAATCATGATCAAAGGCTTTGTCCGAAAGTCCATAGGCCTATCGCTCCTCGGAGAAACGAGAGACACTACCGAATGGCTAATAGGCGACTTGGAAATACGCGGCGTGGACGACTTGAAGGAGGTAATATTCATTGTGGACTACTCTTCGCACAAGCACTCAACACGCCGATGAATTTCTAATCAGTACATGAACGTATACGGCCATGCACCGGGAAACATGTACGTGTCAACTCTTTGTTCGTTCGTATCTACAGCACTAAATTTGGGTAGACAGGGTATCGATTGCACCGACAAAGCGAGCACTGACAGAGAACGTGTTCTACACGGTGCTGATGGGACCTGACCTGGACATTGCGAAGGCATTGGAAGATCCCAGAATCATATTCAACTTCATTCGCAATATCACGAAGAAGCCTGAGCTCGAGTTTGGTGAGATCAAGAGTCTTTCGAACTACAGGTTCGCACCTCACCGTTCACCCTCTTGTTCTCTTTCCTGTGTTCATGGTCTCATCTTATAGACCCAATAATACGCGCGTGGTAAACACTTTCGGAAAAGGTCATGTGTTCGTAACTGGAGGTCAGCTTCTCCACCTTGTCTTCCATTTCGGATGCCCCGACTGACGTAGTACAGATGCTGCCCATGTCCATAGTCCGGCTGGCGGACAAGGTCTCAATTCCGGGATTATGGATTCAGTGGGCTCGTTTTCTTACATTGGTCATGTCTTGTCACTGACCTCTGTTATCATAGATAAATCTCGCATGGAAACTTGCTCTCGTCACCAAAGGCCTCGCGCCTGTCTCATTACTTGACACATATACCGAGGAACGCCTTCCTGTCATCAAGGACATGCTCGTGCGGACTGATGGCCTCCTCAGGAAGGCCCTCTCCCAAAACGAAGAGAGATTCTCTCGACCACCCGTCTTCAACATGTTAGGCGTCAACTATTGTTTTAGCTCTATCGTCTTGGACGAATTCCATCGCATAGAGGATGCGAAGGGCTTGGCGGCCAGTGCCTACGAAGTTGACGACATTCTGAGGGCTGGCGCGAGGGCACCCGATGCGCCCAAGTTGATCACTATTCCCGAGATAGATCACGGCGAGATGGCGCTCTTCGACATTTTCCGCCCCTTTGTCCACACCGTTCTCATCTTCCCTGCATCCGACGCTCACGTCGATACATCCTCTGTCATCACGGCTCTTGCCAAGTATCCGCAGGGTTCAGTGTCTTCTGTGATCGTCCTTCCACAATATTCATCAGTCTCGGCACTCGACGGGATATCTTCCGGTCTGGTTTTGAGGGATGAAGACGGACATGCATATAAAGCGTATGGGGTAGAAGTCGGTCAGGCTAAAATTGTTATTGTTCGCCCGGATGGGTGGATCGGGGCTATCGTTCGTGGCGTCGGGGGTGTGGAGAAATATTTCTCTGCGATTATGGCTGCATGAGAAGAGAAAAGGTCTTGTGTATTCATGCCGTTCTCGAACCACTTGTTACCGGTATGTTCCATGCCAAATATATGTTGTCACTAGCAGTCTTCCAACCACATGCGTGACTTGTTGACGATGAGATGTTATTGTATCAAAAGGGTACGTCTTCCTCGCCGCACCGCACCGCACCGCACTCTCGGACCAGTCTAAACTACAATTCTTGCGGGTACATCAGCAAGACAGCACGCCGCTGTGGCGTCTGGAAGCTCCTGGAGCGGCTGGGTTGTCTGGACTGCTGGAGCCAGCTTGTCCAGGTGCAGGCAATTTCGTCCAGAGTTTCCAGATTCCAACGCCATCAGGAATACCCTCCCGAGGCAGTTTTCAATATTTTCTACTCACAGCATACCTGCTTCATGTACACCTTCCACAAGACACTGACAGATGTTTTCGCATATTTTGTGACATTCAGGCTGGGATGATTGAACTTGATCAAACCATGATCACAGTCATGCACATTTCATAAACACGACTACATACACAATCGTATCAAACACTAAGAGCTCCAGGGAATAGGGAATGACTGACGACGACGTGTACTATACAGGTTCGCACGATCGTGAAACAGGTAACGCTGACACTTCGTACGGGGCAAGGATAACAAACACAAGATAAGTTGTAGAAAGATGATAGTGATAAACATACAGGCACTCAAGATGCTGCGTGGCCCTGATCCCATGCACTCTCCGAAGGTCATACCGATCTCTCTAAACACTTCAGCCATCCCGAGATCCCTCCACTCCGAAATATACAAAAAGGTTAGCAGAGGGGGCAGGCAGATGGGGTCGGTGAGCAAGCTGTGGTCGAAGACGAGGCAGAGGTGGTAGTGGAGAGGGTGAATCGAAGGGGGCGCGCCTAGATGAGACGCGATGAGGCCAAGGGACAAAGCGAGAGTTGGAGAGCGAGAAAAGGCGCGATGACGCTCATAGAAGGCATCGTAGCCCTTCGTGGGCATGCATCGTCCGTGCCCGGAGACAACAGTCTTGAGTGGTCAGCTGTCGAATAGGAGCAACGAGGAGGGGACGCGAGAGAATGAAGTGGACAACGACAGTGGTAGAAGGAAAGCAAGGCACGACGAACGCAAGGCAAACGCATCAGCCTAGTCGCGTTGCGCACCAGCCACAGCCTGCCCTAAAGCCTCACGTGACACTGTTGATCTGCGATGACGCGACGCGTCAGCTTTGGTCGTCGCTCGTCCCTCTCTTCCCTCCTCTCCCCTCACTCCTCTTCCCTCACTGCCTGTCTTCTGTGCTCGTGAGTCGTTCTGTCAAGTCAATGTGGGATCCATCTTCATCGACGAAGTTGAAGAGGATATCGGCACCGAGTTCAACGAAGCACGAGTCGCCCTCGTTCACCCCAGGACCGACCACGGCAGGCCTGGTCGCGTCGAGCCAGATGGATATGAAGACGGAGAAGTTCACATTGCCGGTAAGTAAGGCCGACGCGAGAGAGGTCGGAGGAGAGGGGATGCGCTCGCAGTGATATGGTGGGGCAGCATGCGTCGAGAAGAAGATAGAATTGGCGGGGGAGCAGTGGTTGGGGAGTGAGGAGTCGAACTCGTGAGTTTTTCCCCCTCTTACTGTTAGCGATGGGAGAACTAGTCGATGATGCTTGTTTGTTGCAGATATGTGTCCGAGTTGTTCTACGTCCACACAAAGCTGTCGACCATAGATCATTGTCAAGCCCCTGTATGTGTTCTGACCCCTTTTCTCAGCGTAGATGGTATAACGGGCTCACCACATATTCCGTCTGCAGATGGGCTACGTCAACATGAGTCACCGTAGCTAGAAGGTCAGTCGCTGCTCATTGTATTCTCGCCTAGACGAATACCCCATTGACTTGCTCCGTGACTTGATGCAGGGTGATAGTGGCCTCGAGATGGTCAAGCAGGCCACGTTGTGCCTAGCGTCCCCCTCAAATGCATCAAGGCCCGTCTCACAAAAGTCCACAGCCCTCGTTGAGGCTCCTATCGTACGCTGTCCATGCTTTCGTATAGTAGCTAACGTTCTATAGCCAATGTCCAGTGTGCGGGACTTTTGTGAACAGGGTTCTGCGGATGCGATCTGAGTTTCCCCCCGTAGAGGTCCATTACTGTTGTGGTTTGCGCTGGGGATCAGTATGTATCATCATATATCGCCGTAGTGTAGTGTCATGTAAATAAACTGAATAAACATATTTTGAATGTCTGTGACGAGACTGGAACAACTGGAGATATATCTCTCCAGATCCTCCAGATGGCCGTTCTGCCTCCAGACGGGCACCTGAAATCCCGTCGCTGTTCTGGACACAGACAGTGTCCTGGAGTACTGGAAGCTCTGGAGAGCCTCTGTGTGGTCTGGTCCAGACACGTGCGATCTTGCTGATGAAAACAATCTCTAAGCTAAGTTAGTTGCAACACTCACGAGCCCAAAATCTACGAATTTACATGCACAGCATCACAACGGCCTTCCTTTCTTCCTACATTTCCTCTTACTCCAAGGTAGTAAGTAGTAAGCACCCCCAGTTGAACTCCAGGAGCACAGCGGACCTTGATGCTCGGTCATAACGGTCAACACAAAGTCACTGGCCATATGAGAGACGCTTTTCGACCTGCTTGGACACCATCTAACTCATCGGCTGTTGCATCTTGATGGGAGCTTCGAATTTTGACTGATTTTCCGGTGTTCTTCCTCTGTCTTTATTTCACATGGCAGTCTACTTAGACCGATGGACGAGGAAGGAAGGAAGGAAGGAAGGAAGGTTAGTTGATGATTGAGATTTCGAACTAGACTGGGGAGAGCAATGGCTTTGAATCACACGTCAAGGCAGATTCTTTGTTCCTTCTTTCGGATTACTCTTTTGCTTCGTTGCCTGTGATACGCATACAACGAAAGATATATCTTCTGGTCGGTATGCAAGATGATTCTTTATCCCCCCTCAAACATCCTGATTTATCAGTGCTTTTGACAGATTAGTGCTTTTGTCAGATTTCGAACCTTCCTTTCCCCCCTTCGCCTTTGTCTCCAGAATAAGCAGGTTCTAATCATTATATCAGAACTCTGATCCAAGAATACCCATTCCTGCCACCGCGCGCGCATCATGATATTCGAGGTGCGCCCTACAAGAACAGGGCGACGATCAGCGCATCCGGAATCACCTTTTTCTTCGAACATCTGTCGTCAGACATCCAGTGGGAGCTCGACAATAGAACAGATCGTCAATAACCAAGATGACCTAATCTCCAGGCCGCTTCGTGAGATCGCTACAAGTCTTCGGCTCGGACTGTGGCCACTCTTCGACCACCCCCGGCGATTGAAAAGCCTCACAGTCTGGTCGATGTCCCCATTTGTCTTGAGTTCGGGAGAAGCAATCGAATGTTGAACTATTCTATGAAGAACCGTCCTACCGAAGGTCATCATGCCCGATGGGTAAGTTAGGTCGACCGGCGTCCGCGTCAGCTCACCGACTGCTCGCCCACAGACAGACATCTAAGACTCGGAACTGACTGTGCAGACGGATACAGTAATATCGCGGCCTTACTAAGAAGCCAATGACTCCTTCTCCGAGTTTATTACTCCCCCCCCACCACTACAACATTTCCTAGTCATGCTTACGCCACCAACCGAACCGGAACTTCACTTACCGCCTACGTTCGAGTAGAAATTCTGCTCCAAGGAGCCCATGCACGTCCGCAGTGAAGAACTGAGGCATGGAACGCGATTCAAAGTCCAAAACCCAGGACTGGCACAGACATAGTCAGGTCAACCTGAGTGTCGTTGATAGTGCACAGATTGCTGTACTGGTCCCTCTCCACTGATTCCTGAATACATTGTACTGAATGGGTATCAGTTATCGCAAACCGTTTTGTATTGTTCCCGTGTTTCATGTTCGTAGAACTTGGCAACGCTGAGCATAACTCGACAAATATCATGATCAACCCAGCCGCCGCATCATCAAAACTCACAGCCTTGGCTTGAGCGCGCCCACCACACTCGCCGCGAACTCTCACAGCCACCGATGCGCCCGAATCGGTTGACGACCAGATCGCGTACGCGTTACATGGAAAGGTTTTGAGATGTATGCGGCTGAGCTCTTGGGCCGGTATGGAGCAAACACCGACACATGTACAGAAAATATATTTCGTCATACACCCCGTCCAAGTGCATTCGTGCAGATTCACCGGGCTGCTTTTATTTTAAAGCACATTTTACATCCATGCATTTTCCTCGAGAGGATCAATCCATCAAAGACTTTTGATGGAGAAGGCGATCCCTATAAGTAACTCGCATTGAAACCAGCACCGAAGGCGTTACTTTCCGATCGCGCGAGCCGCAACACAGGCAGATATCATGATGCAGTTCCCGTGAGCACACTGCAGGCGAGTGAGTCGCACCGCCTACGGGATCAAATGTATGTTACACACACATACCGGCCAATGGCCTACAAGGAACAATTCGGATAGAATCCGGGGGAAGATTGTGATGCCAAAACATGGCTGAACGGGCCTGACCCCGGTGGACCGTAGCCGAGGAACGAGGCAAGCCACACAGCTGTGGGGGATTTGTGAGAATTGGCAATCTGAACCGTTCCTTAGATGAAACGAGGTGACGGCACCGACGCAATCACCCAGCAAAGTATAAAAGAAAGAGCAGCGAGTCACTACTGCGTCCCCTCACTGCTCCACACCTATATAACACCCCCCTTGCAATATCCAGCCGGGACTGCTCTTATCTCTCAACCACTACCACTTTTACCCCACTCAGCTTCATCCTCTTTCACAATGCCAGGCATCGTTCCACATTCGCATGCTGAGGGTACTTGCCCCGTAACAGGAGCCACATCCCATGCATACTGCGCTCCGCAACCAGACGATAAACGGGCACCATGTCCAGCACTGAACACGTACGTTGATTATCTGCCTCATTGTCTCTCTCCATACTTTTCATCGTGCAATGGCGCTCATCCTTTGTCTGTCCACTCCAGACTCGCAAATCACGGATATCTTCCACGAGATGGAAAGCAGATCGACGCCGCTGTCCTCATCCGCGCCCTCGAAGAGGGCTACGACATCTCAGCTCCACTAGCATACGTCCTTGCCTACGGTGGCCATTTCCTTCTGGGCCAATTCGGTCCCTTCCAACTCGACGACCTCGCACGGCATAACAAGATCGAGCACAATGCGTCGCTCATCCATCCCGACGCCCGTGGCCGCGACGAGTACGCCCCTATTCATAGCGATCCCGTGCTCTGGAAGGAGCTCGTGAAGAATGCTTCGGATGGGAAGAAGTTGACGACAGCCGATGTTGCAGAGGCTAGGGTGAGGAGGGAAACGGATGAGATGAAGGCGGGGAAGGAAGCCCTGGATGGCTTTCACGCAGAGATCGCGAGGGGCGAAATGGCGATCGCATTGGGGATGTTCTCGAAGGATGGAGAAGACGGGATTCCAATGGGAACGTTGAAGCAGTGGATGCTGGAGGAGAGGTTGCCGGAGGGATGGAAGCCAACACATATCCAGGGACTGTTGAACACGGTAGCGAAGGCACGGGAGATCAAAGGCGCTATGGAGAAGATCAGGGCCAGTGAAGATGCGAAGGAGAAAGCTGGTGAGAGCCACTTGAAGTTGGTTCAAAACTTCAAGCTATGATTACGCGTACGATCATTTCTTGGTTTTCGTGAGCTCGGACTCTATTCTCCCAGATCAGTTGTTTTATAGGGATTAGGCAGGATATATACCCTTGGAGAGCTAATACTTCGTGGCGCCGCCCTTCCGCCGACACATTGCTAGCTTTATTTAGGACACTATTTATTGCTCCGAGCTCAGTACTTACTATTGGACTCCATCTTGGATATTCTTGTCATGTAGCTAACTGTGTATCTTATAGTATTGATTGTGTTTTGTTCTATTAATGTCAATCAGTGGCTACTTTGCCAGCAATAAAGAAATTGAGCGCACAGCAGGCAGCGACATCGAGTCTTGAGCAGGGCGTGTCGGATATGCAGTTAGGGCTCCGTTCCGCACTGAGTGATGAGCAAGAGTTGACCGAGAGGTAGAACAGTCACAAAGCTAGCATCAAGGTTCAACGGTTGTCGGAGAGTAAGATGCGATCCGTGCGAACGGAGCCACAAATGATCCTCCGGCAGCAGCCGATTCGGAAGGTGAATCGTTTCTTTCTGTGCCACACAAGTGCCACATCTGCACGCGTAATTTTTGCCGAACCCCTCGAGTATCCTGGTCTCTCGTGCGCGGGTAGCAGACGATGGTCTTATTCTGTGCTCCTTATTCAAAATTCAATTTAAACTGTTTGTGCCAGATTCTTCTCATCCTTGTTTATCGCTGGTTTGAAAAATCAACGTTTCAAGGGCCATACCGGCCCCCGTTGGACCTGCCATCAATTTACTCGGCGGACAATTCCATATATTCTTGCTTTGAGAGTAGACTTTTTCAAAACTCCAATTGGATGTTCATCACTATTCACGTTCGGTGGTCTGACTACATGCCATCGCCCGTCGCTAACCGGCGGACTCATGGCAGGTATTGTAAGAAAAGGAAGAACGAGAAGAATGAAAAATAGCGCTCAAGCCTGGACGTATTTCCTCCTGAACATGCTGCCGATGCCGTCGAGGTAAAATGCCCTCGGCCAGATATTCTTGATGTCTCCCTGGGGCTGGTACGGCGCTAGATTATGGTTATCCTCCCGGAGCTATAATACCACCATGAAACAGAAATACATCAGCTCTACGAACATATACAGATACACGACAGAGAAACAGAATGAAGAGTGGATAAAGGGTGAGTCGAGGAGCATACCTGAAGACCCTCGGTGTACTCCTCACAGCTAACAACATCCATACTCTCCAACCTCTTCAACAGATCCATCTTCTTCGCGATCTCACTCACATCCCCCTTCACCCTCATCGTCCAAAACGTGCTCGCGCACCCACCCCCAAACGCATACATACTAATCCTCTTCCCCTTCAGCGTCGCCGCGTCCACTGTGCTCAAAAGGCTAGCAAGCCCGCCGTACAGCGAAGCGGTGTACATGTTTCCGCATCGCGAAGCGCACCGCATGGAGAGTGACACGCGGGCAGCGTAATCGGCCTTGGAGAGCGCCATGAACGATTTCTCGATCTCCTTCGAGTTGATCGTTTGAGGGTACGGCAAGTCAAGGAACGAAGGGTCGATGTTCGCGAATTTGGGCTTGTGTGGTGCACTCAAGTAGTCCATGAACAACAACCTCGCGTGGCCCTTTTGCACCTGCTTGCCGTAGGGCGAGTGGTAGACGGGGTAATCGACATCAGCGAGCGAGAAGACGGATTTCTCGTCGACTTTGTTTCCGGCCTCTGTTTCGGGGATGGCAGACGGGTTGAAGGACTTTGTGGCGGTGGCGACTTTGGAGCGAAAGGCGGAGTAGGCGGCGTCCATTGCTGCGATGTAAGTCGAGACGGAGAGGGGTCCATCGACAGTAGGGTATTCGGAGTGCAGATTAGGCTTATAGAATTCGTAGGTATTAGCCATGTAGGTTCCATGGATAGCTATTGGCGAAAAAATCAAGTAGCGTCAGTGACAACTTGATTTCATTTGAACATTATAGAGGGAGGACGTACGTTCAAAAACAAGGGGAGCGTTGGGGCCGATCAAGATAGCGCAGGCACCAGCACCTCCAACGGCCCTGGCACCACCCTTTGCGTAGACCGCGATGTCACCGGTGAAGACGATCGCGTTGCGACCATCCCATGAGCGCGATTCGATCCTGAGCACCACCACCCACGATAGGAATCAGTACGTGATACGGACACGAGGAAAAAATAAAGGCACCAGTTTGTCGCATTCTGAACCGCCGCGGTACTCCCGTAGCAGGCATTCTTACTGTCCAAACCCTCGATATCGTGGTTCCCGCACTCCTTGAAAAGATCCATGAGGACGGTCTTGACAGATTTTGACTTGTCGATGATAGTCTCTGTGCCGACGTCGAGACGGCCGATGGAGCGTGGGTCGATGTCGAAACGCTTCATGAGGGAGGAGACGACTGCCAGCGCGGACGAAATTCTGGATGTCAGCGACTGAAAAGCGAAGACGTAGAATGTGTGAGAACGTACCGGTCAAAGCAATAGAGTTGATGTCCTCCCTGTCGTCCACGAAAGCCATATAGGACTGTCCGAGACCGATAGTATACTTTCCCTTAGAGACACCGTCGAACACCTCGAGCTCTTCCTCCGAGACGCACTATGCGCCCGCCGTAAAATGAGCTCGCGACTTCGTCTGCAAAGATAGGTAAGGTGGGGAGGACAACGTACTCGTTTAGGGACATACATGTCCATAGCGAGGATACCGACATCCTTGGGACGCGGACGCTCGGCCTGGACGTCGAAGACGGAGGTGGAGGCGATTTCTATGGCCATTGCTACAGTTGATGATAATAGCTAGTCCTGGTCGTAGATGGTAGCGAGCGAGAATGGCCTTCGAGTGGAACGAATGAGGGTACGAAGGACGAAAAGGTGGCCGTGTGACGACATATATACGCCCACTAGCAGACAAGGCTACCGGTGTTACAGATTCTGAAACAAAAAGAAAAGATTGAGTCAAACACGATATGAACCGGTCAGAATGGCACGATTGGGTACCTCGATTTCGGATTGGTGGAGCGGGGGAATGAGAATGCTGATGTGGCAAGAAATCGTCCGATACGACTCTAATTACTGGCGCTGAGAGATACGAAATCATACAATCTGACTGAGCCAAATCCGAGTATGGTTGACCTACGGCCGTAGCTCCTCGCATGAATCCATGCTCGAGGCCTGCCGAACACAACCGGTCAAGGGACATCAAAGCCGCTATAGAGGAGACCAGGGCCAGCGAGAGAGAAAATGAGGGCAAGCTGGCGTGATTCACTTGAAGCTGATGCAGACCTACCAGACGCACAACGTTCTTTGCGACTTTATGGGCTCAAAAGCTATACACCCAGATCATATGTTTTGAAAGAACTGGGTAGGTCATACACCCTTTGAAGTACAATGCTTCGCGGCGCCTCGCCGGCAGCGCCTGCATATCTAGCATTGGAACCACCGCAATTGGGTTTCCATTCGGGCTCGTATGCCTCATATTGATCTTCGTATATATTGTACCTATAATGTAGTCGGTTACGCATGGCGCCGTAGGAGCGGCGGTGGCTTGTAGCAGTTTGAGGATGAGAAACTGTCACTGGGTGACTTTCCGTAGCAGTTTAGGAGTGTTTCTTGACGCACAGAAGCACAAATACGAGGCTCTCAGCCAATCAAGAATCGATCTGAACCTCTTTTCTGTGTTCTAGGCCTCTAGAACGTGCACAAACCCCCCACGGAAAGCCACCCACTCGCGCTAAAGCGCCCTCCGAGTTTGGTTAACGGTATCTGTCGTAGGCGGTTAGATCAACAGATCATTCTACGGCAAATAATCCAATGCATCTCTCGGACAAGATACCAGCGTCAGCCAGTGCTAGTCCGAGTCGTCGCCTGTTCAAGTTTCACAATGATATCAGAGAAATTAAGCGCATGTAGCGATTAGTACCATCCGACCCTAGATTCGACCAAGTGCAAAACAGGACTACGAGGCTCTTTAACATCCACCCGAGCACGGTCCATGTTCAACGTTCAGCTCCTACTACACGCTTTCCGGGCCTTTCTCCGACGCACCGCCATAGACGCGAACTTCGAGATTCGGAGACCGACGACAATATTCCGGACCGATGGGGCTTCAAGTTCAACGCTGCTAACAATATCGGCAGACAAGCGAAGGACAAGAACAGAGTAGAGTACACAGGCACTCGAGGAAGACGAACCTGACGACTGGTTGGGCAATCCCAGGAGCGCTAGTAGTAGGAGGCTGAGTGAGATTTACGAAGGCAAGCGGATAGTTGAATCACAAAACGGGGTCAAGATCCTAGAAGTTCTCCCTAAAAGGATGTTGCGTTGTCGTAGATGCGACGTTGGTTGAGAAAGAGAACTTATAAGTCTGAACAAAATCTGAAGGAAGAGTGCTTGATCACGCCGTGGCACTGATGTCGTGGGAGTGATAAACGTCGGAGCTTGAATCTGGAGGCGAGCGTCGAGCATTACAAAGTTTCTCGGGAGCAAACCTCAACGAACGCAAAGAGGTCTCAATTCTCTCCCTCGAGCTCGTGCAGATAGGCGACTACGAAATATGGAATATGGAATAGTGCGTCATCCCTATCCTCATAAAGACCCATAAAAGTAATCGCAGAGGAATCCAATGATTTCGCCGAGACAAGTTATTACTGTCCTCATAATCTGGTCCCATCAACCAATGTCGGACCGATGTCCTGCGCTCTCTCCGGCTGCATCAAGTTCACCCACCTCCTCTTGAAAATCTCCTTCCCCTTTTTGCCAAAGTATCGCTCGCTTTCGAACCCCCACTGGTCACTGGCGCGAACCCAGTTTCCTAATCCACAGACGTACCGCTCCACCTGCGGGTCTAGCTCCTTGCCCCATGATGGAAGACCGTTATTGTAAAGGTAGAGGAACTTTCGCTCGAGTTTCGCGTGATACTTCACAACCCAATCCATTGCACCGGCGATATCGATATCAAACTGGTTCATCGCTATCGTGATGATGTTGTGGAGGTCGTCGCCGCGAGCCTGCTCGACATTATAAGAGCAGATGTCCTGTACGGTCCAGAGTATCTGAATGAGCCGTCTCTGCGAAGTGGTCAGACTAACGTACGTTTCCAAGACATATCATATCAGTGGACAGGGCAGACAGCTGTTGGATGACCGGGTGAGCGAGAACCTCGTCTGGGAGGGTCATGTCCATCTGGAGGACGACGAACGACGGCTTCGCGCCGATCGTCTCTCTTCGCATCTCGAGATAGCTGTCGACGTCACGAATGAACCCGTGGTGGCGATCCTTCGCTTGTTGAACGACTGACTGCGTATAGCTTTCGAACGCATCGATAAACCGTCTTTGTGCCCCTGCGGTGGCGGTCTTGATGGCACGCTTCCAGAATCTGTTCCTGCCGTGTCAGAGTACTTTCTTGGTGTGGGTTTGTGTGTCGTGGAACGTACTGTCTGGTAACTTCTCCGCCGACCCATTCATCGTCAGGACGAGGCGCGTATGGGTTGCGCAGAGCATCCATTATGATGGCAGCTTGTTGGATAACGTCCTTTGGTGAAGAGACGTCGGAGTATTCGTCGAATACGAAGAACATATTCATGAGGTCGCACCCGGTACGCAGACGTTCTACACACCGTTTAAATCTCTCGTCGTTGCAAAGCAGGACGAGTGAGTTACTGACCTTCAGACTCGAGGGGGTATGCGAGCGAAGCCAACAAGTCTATAGTAGACTATGGTGAGTGGCCCACTCGAAGTCCTCGATATAGGAATTGACTGTAAACTCACTGAAATCGCAGGCATTATACGCGTGTTGAGCCTTTGGGTTGAACGCACCGAAGCTTTCGGCCCAGGCAGCGGAAGCCTTCTTCACTTCCTGATAATGAGGATTGATGTGGCGAGGCCAGGGCCAGTACTCGAGGCAATTGGGGATATAGAAACGTTGTGGGCTGTCCACGACTGTCATCGTCGATAGGCTGTACTGACGGGTAGGAAGAGAAGGTGAAGGTTGGGATGGAGTGAGCGTAGTGATTTAGACGACCAAGGTGAAAGCAGTCAAAGTAAAGCCAGATGAGGCAGGTGGGAAGGAATGGTAGGCCATGCTCGTCATATTTATGGTCTTCTGATCCCGATACAATTACACAGGGAAAATGTTTGAACTATTTGGTGGAATGCAGGAAAGGCCTTTCCGATTGCGGGTGCGAGTATGGTGTGATTTCATCCAACGGAAAGGAAAGTCCATTGCTTTCCGGGTAGAACTGACGTGTCACTTGCAGCTCTCATATGTCAGATATCATAGACGCAGGGTATAAACTTTGGCCACGATAGCCTGCTAGAAAATATCGTCCTCATAAGTCCCTCGCCGCCTGTCCGGCTTCTAGCTGCACTGCTAACAGCTGAAGAACGCTCCTGCGAGCAGATTTGCCTCATCAAACCGAAACATTATTCTCTTCCGAATTCGTTGTCAATGGTATAACGCCACAATGGCTATTGGTGCGCAGATTCAGACCTGGATTCATTGCCGCAACATTCTGATAGTCTCGTAGCATTTCAGAGAGAACGCGCGGTGATATTGACTATCTCGAGTGACGATATAGCACGAACATGATCGACTAGAACCGCTTTTGCATGCTGACTGCATTCTCCAGGTACGCTGGATCCTAGTGAGACGCGTTGGAATATATAATGGGCGATGTGGTTGGAAGCCCCTTGCTTAAAGCCTCGGATAAGGCTTGCTTGTTGAGCGGGAGTGTATTCAGGGGTATACTGAATGGGCGAAACCGATTGTTCACCTTACTGGGTCATGAAACTTGATCCTCTTCTAGGACATAGGGGTCGCCTCCTAACACCCACAGACTCTGGGCATTATCACCCTACGTCTGCGCGTTGCTAAAGGATTCAGAGGTGAGACCTGTGTTGCCGCTGGCTGTGTATCCACAAGTGATACATACTACGTTATTGCCGGCGTGTCTGTTCCAGGCGCTACTGGGTGAACTACTCATTCATCAATACCCTTCCATTTTTCTCCAAGCTCAAGGGGATTCTTGATCATCTCGAAGGCGATATTGCATAACCCGCGGCCCCTTGGTCTCCTCGAGAGCGGAGTGGTCTGGAATAGCTATAGGTGCGTTGCATTTTCGACATGCATCCTCTGACAGGCTTATTGTCCCTGCGACCTCGGAACTTATGCTGGAAGGGCCGTGGCTATTGATGGAGGATCTCTTGCCACTGTGGCCGTACTTCTGTACATCGTACAAAACAGTGAACCCTGCGACGGGAGAAAATCAGACAGCCGTAGTTTGAAAACTGGGAAGCTATTTATCCATTTGTGGTACCGTAGACAGGCGCCTCAGGTTCCTTCGAGTCTTGCAATATCGAGCTCAGGTTGATGTGCGCTCTCGATTCGATGAGAGTTTATGGCCCCTTTATCGTATCACAAGTTGTCTCTCCTCAATAATAAGGTTCATGCCGATTCAGTCAGGAGGGTATTATAAAACTAATAAAGCAGACACATCAAGAAAAAAGTGTACGTTCCAAGCAGGATCGATGCCACTGCTCCGAGTCCGCGCTCGCCACAACTTGGGCACAAGCGCCCGAACCGGCGTTTGCCGAGATTTAACTCACCTCACGATCACATGAGTAACGAAACGCGTCTTCAAAACTCTGCCTCTGAGTGTCCTACTCTACAAATTTTTGGTTTTTTTCTGTCTCTTTTTGTCTCTGGTTCTGGGCGATGTCTGTGGAGCCTTTTTCAACGTGGGCTCACGCGAGCGCCGGCGATGCCAAGTATAAAATGAGCTATCATCTGCGCTCGCGCGATAGGCGCTGATGCGGTCACAGTGTGAGTGCCATCAGGAAATCATTGTATGTTGGTCGCTGTCTGCCACTTGCCACGAATTCTTGAAAAGTCCCGTTTGTCTCTTTGTCAAACACTCTGGCGTGAAGAGTGCTAAGGAACGATGTCTCAAGCGACAGCTGAGAGTTTTGCGGCCATGATAGAAGCTGGTATGAGTGGGATAGGTATGTGGATGCTTGGATGGTTTGGAATCTGGAAGGATCTTCGTACTTGGGGAAGCAACCTCATTCAAAACGCTCGCTGATTTCATGTACTGCGACAGCTTACCTCGCAGGGATCCTTCAATACCCCGCGATATGGTACAGGATCTACAAGTACGGCGCAGACGGTGCGTTCCGCATTTAAGTACTTCACACGTACCACAACCACATACTAACCGCTCGTCTCCTTGCTCTCCAATACAATCTCCCAGGAATCTCCGTACCCAGCCAACTCCTCCTCGCCCTATCCTACCTAACCCTCTACTTCCTCCCCCTCCTCGGTCCCCACCCTTCCTTCCTGCCCTACATCCCCTCCCTAGCCTTCGCCTTCTTCTTCATCCCCTTCCCCCTCTACACGCTCTACCTCCTCCACACCCGTTCACGCGCCATCTTCCCCTACACCCTCCCCTCGTCCGAAAAATCTCAATGTTACACCATCAGCGCGATCTGTCTCGGCCTGGCCTTGATCTTTAACTACGAATGGTTCCTCTGGGGAGGCAGGTGGGGTGAATCGGGAGGAGGGAGGAGAGGCACGGGCGCGTGGGGTGTAGGCTGGTTGTACGAGATTTTGTGGGCTTTTGGGACGTATTTGGGTGCGGTCGGGGTGTGGCCTCAGTTGGCTGAGTATGAGAGGGAGGGGAGGGCGGAGTTGATGCGCGATAGGTGGTTGATGTGTTACTTGGGGTTGTTGTACTTGAGTGCGGGGATGACGGTGCTTAGGTGTGTTTTATTTGTTTATCTTTTCTGCGAGTTGTGTCGCCGTCGGGCGTAGGATGATGATCTGACTGATCGTTATTATTGATCATTGTAGGTCCTGTCTCGGCGCTGTTAACATCCATTGGGACCCCCTCGCATTCTATGCTTCCCTCTTCACCACCGTACTTTTCACGTACTACCTCATCAAAATCTTCGTCTTTCGCTCTACCTCTCCCGCGTTCTCCCTCCCTTCTTTCACTTCCTCTTCCTCTTCTCCATCCGGACGTGGACGATCGTGGTCTGCGAGGAATTGGTCCTGGCCATGGAGACGAAGCGAGTATGTCGCGCTGTCGGGCGAGGAAGAACCGTTATATGACGGACATGGAGAGGACAGTGAAGAGCAGGATCGCATTCGTGCGAGTTCGGCGGCGGCTGCAGCTCAGGCGAGACTTGCAGCGGTGAGTGATCTCTTTTAACGGAGTGATGGTTTGTCGGGCTCATGCTTTATTGGCCTTTGACATTATAGGAACGCGCTAGAGGCGCTTTGTCCGGCGAATAAGCCGCATTGGATTATGGAGTACGAGGTCTTTAGAAACACAGATTTATCTATGCGCGGTGTGGTCGGTATCCTGTGAGTGTTCTCGGGTCTTTTACGAGTCTTTTATGTGCACTGTCTTGGTTTCAGAGTGTAAGGCCCGAAGTAATTTATTGGAAACTCATCGTTTTATATGAGTATCGTGCAGTGTTCATCCCTCGGCGCCATTTTGAGCTCGAGCAACTCAGTAACGCGACAATCCGTCATACCGACACGGATTTTTATAACGCCAGTACCCTGATCATCATGCTCTTCCCTTCGTTATAAGCTATCTCTTCTTGCCCGTCGTCTTTCCTCATCGAGATTCAACGGAAGCAACTTGACTTGACAGAATCTCGCAACGCTTCTCTCCTCCCAAGCGAGCTTCAGACAACACGATCACATGCTCCGAGCATGCTTGTACAAGCAAGACTAAATGCAAAGCAAGGAAGAGCAGACACTTTTGTCGATCCGATCGCATCTTGTTTCTGCTTTGACACTCTTCGAATTCTCGTGCATTCAATTCCAAGGAAAATCCTTTCTAAAAAGGTACATACATGGGCCACAGGGGCGCTCGCGAGCAGACTCGGAGGTGGCTTGCGGCCGCAGAAACGCGCTTGTGCTCCCCGCAAACGCTTCGCGCACCTTTGTGATCAGAAATTTGAGAGGTACGTATGCGATTGATCGATTATGATCATTTTTATTCGAACCGTAGGCGGCACCTCCGTGGTCGTCCAAAGTTTCAGCACTTGAGCAGCTGGTTGACGTTCGAAACACCGAAGAGCACGAGACCGAGACTGTCAAGAACATGGAGACGCTGAAGGCGCTTCAGAATATGTGACAGCTGTTGGAGTCGGTGAAACACAGCTGAAGCAGGGATATTAGCACAACAGCGACTCATCAACGAGTTATTGGATGAGGCGCTGCCCGAGGGGTGTAAGCAGATGCGTGTTATGGAAGCGGCAGGGGGGTTGGAATTTATCGGGGCACCCTCTCCGTCACACCGCCTCGAAAACTATAACTGAAAGCGTCTGCCACTGTCCGCTCGTATCGCAACTGGCCGCACACATCTTCCTTCGTCCCGCACACATCCAATCGCATCAACGCTGCAGACGAACCTGCAAGCAATAGAGCAACCGCCACCAAGCCGCAGTGCCACACCAATCGGGGCAGAATCACCTGTCAGGGTTCCTAGGTACGAATTTGCAACGAATCCCCCCTTGTCACTGGCCCGCCACGGCGCGGGCTCGTCTTTGCCTTCAAGCAGCGGATCTGTGAAGCAGTGCCGAGACTTATAATTATTCTGTTGTTGGTTGTCGTTCCCTTTCTTTCCCCCACGTCCTTGTTCTCTTCCCTTTTGTCTGGCCACGTTTAGTTAGGTGCGTCTGGAGTCTTGTCATTCTGTCAAGGTCCCATCGATGGTACTTAGACTGACGCCTGGTGGCTCCGTACAGAACGCACTCCCTCACCCCCAACTCCAAGCTCGGCGAATTCGGATCGTATTTCGTGCTAGCACAATCCCTGCAAACTCGTGTCCACTAGGTTCATCGATTTGAGGACGTACAAAGCAACGGCATTCGACTTCTCTACAACCAACCCGTCCTTGCCAGTTTCGCCTTTCATTCGCCCGATACACAGATACACAGATCCTGACTCGACTACTCGTCGATACGACACCGCTTTGACCGCATTGCTCTGCGCCCGCATCCGCTTCCGCTGTCCATTTGAGATCTGAAGAGCAAGTTCTTGTCTTGTTCGGTGAGTCTCGTTCGTTCGTTAGCTCTTTCACCACAGTCCGTTCTTGTTGTTTCAGTCAGTTTCAGTTTCAGTTAGAACTACTCCTCACCGTGTAACACCTACGCTCCGAATCCCTTTTGTTTCGTCACTTTCGCCTTGACCTGTTGACCTTCTTCGCGGCCGGAAATTCTCTTCGTTTTCGTGCATATCGCAATCGCGTCATCCTTTCATCCGACCCGAAATCCGAATCACTGTCTCTGCCTGACTAAAAGCCGAATCTGACATCTCTGCATTCTTCAAAGCTTCCTTGCAGATCCCTCTTCTTCACGGTTCACCTGACCTTCGCACCCGACCACACCTCCCACCTTCCCCGACCACCATCACAAACACACTCACCTCTTTCCGAACCACATCACCAACCAACCACATCACCAACCAACCAACCAACTTCCAAATCAACGAACCGACAATGCGCATCCTCAACATCTACGAATCGCCCTCCTTCGAACTCGACAACACAGACAGACACCTCGCACAGACGATGGCGATCCGGCTCGGCGCGGGCGTCGTCAGCGCGCTCGCGTGTGCGGGCTTGGTACGGGTGTGGTGGGTTAAGAATCTGAGTGAGTAGCAAGTTTCTCTTCTTCTTCTTCCTACCTTTCTCTCTTTCTTGTTTCCGCCCCCCTCCCCCCCTTTTTTTTCGAAGTCTTCGTGCGGGGTGTTTGTCGGTCTTTCGGCTCGGTTGGATCCCTGTGGCGTTGGGATGTTGGGACGGAGAACCATACGTATACGGCATAATATGTCGTACGCCGTACGACGTGCACCGGAAGCTTTTAGCTTTACTCGAGTGGCGTCCGCTAGCGTCTAGCGTCTACTTCACGCTTTACGTTGATTGCACTTGGTGGCGGCACGAGGGGGATGTGCGGGTCGCTTAAAGTCGGTGGACGATACGATACCGAAGAAGCATGGGCTATTGGAAGCTGGTAGGATGATATGTACGAAGCTGCGATGCCGTGAAGTGAAGGGCAGAGTAAAAGGTGACCCTGTGGCGGCGCCTCGTTCAGACCAAACATTGGAACTTGGAACGACACGAGAGTTGCGGATGTGTGCCGAGCGCTCGGGTGTGTGTTTCTGTGTGTGAGGAGGGCGCCGTGATACTCCTGCCAGAGAGACCGCTGGCGAGCTATTATGGCCCTGCGGACGCACCTTTCTTTCTTTCTCCCTATTCCCTTCCTTTCAATTTTTTCCTTCCTTGTCCTATTGCGTTGCGTTTGGCGGTGTTGCTCGCGTTTGGGGTTATGTTCGGTGCGCTGACGGGTGTAGGTTTGAAGGAATCGGCAGCATTTGAGACATGACGCGGGCCGATGAAGTATGAAGTCTGAAGAACGACGGGCGGACGGGCGGGTGGACGATGGATGCGTTATCGTGATCGGGGAGGGGAGAGGAGAGCGCTTCGCGAGGTGGTAGAGGAGGCGGCGGTTATGAATGAGAGGAGCGGGCGAGGCAGTGGGAGGGATTGAAGGAGTGAGAGTGAGAGTGCGGGTGAGAGTGAGAGGAAGGAAGACGAAGGCGGTCGATATTCGACATTCAACATGGACACGGATATGGCGCACCTTTTCCTTTTTCACTTTTTCCATCCCACTGGTCTTTTTTTCTGTTCTGTTCCCTCTCCCTTTCCTTGTCGTTTTCGTTTCTTTCTATTTGGTTCGACTACAGTTATACGTCTCATCTCGCATCGGTATCGGATTCTGTTCTGTATTATTCTTATGGTTCGGATGAGATGGGGCGGATGGAGGGATGGAGGGTCGGAAGGTATGTTCATTCATTCGTTTCTGTCGCCTTATCATATCATATCATTTGGGATGGTTTCTGTCATCGCATCGCGCTCATGATGCATGATTCACCATCCCCGTCCTCATCTCCATCCAATCAATGAAGCATCGCTTGCTGACTTTCACTGTGATTCCCCTTTAGACTCCCCATGGCACAGTGGCACAGGCACGATTTCAGTCTCGTTCTCAGGTCTCAGGTCTCACATACATACATACATACATACTTTAACTTATTCAAGCTCGCATCGGCTTACGGCTTGGCTTGTGTATCACCCACCCACCCACCCATTCACTCACTCAGTCTCAGTCTCAGTCTCAGTCTCATTATCACTCAACTTTCTTTTGATCTGATCTGATCTCGTCGTGTCTCGTTTCTTTTATTCCTGTCTTATCTCTCTTTCTCTTTCCTCCTCGTCTCAGTCTCGTTTATCGCATGCATACACCTCTCTCTCGCTCGCTCGCGTCTTCTTTTACTATCAGATTCACTGTCACTGCTCCTCCAGTCTTTCAATCTTTCAGTTTATGTCCTCTCCTCCTCTCCCTCAGTCTCAGTCTCAGTCTCTTTTTTTTTCCTGTTTATCATCGGGCGTCGACGCCCATCCACCCACCCATCCGGCAATCGATGTAGGAATATATCTATCTCATTTTCGAGCGTTCATCCAGTGAATGAATGAATGGCTGAGTGTATGATACGATCGCTTTCACTTCACACCCTGGGTATACAATTGCTACGATTGCGACATACACGACACTGGTGACTCTCGACTCTTCAGTCTTGAAAGCTTGATGTCCCTAGTTTGCGTACTCACAATCACGACCTGGAGCCGCCTGATATCATGATCACATTCCCCATGCCGATAAACCGAGACTGAGCGTAGTAAGTCAGGACGAAGAGTGATCCTATCTGGGCGCGGGCTTGGTGAGCCCTAGCGTCAGACTGCCGGCGGTTTATGCAAACCTGTGTATCATCTTGTATCACTCGCTTATGATTACTTGTCCATCCTGCCCATGTCTCCTTTGAGAACTGAGTGTCGGACCCCTTGCGCCACGCCAGGATGCATGATGCTCGGACGCGCTGAATCCTGATTGGCTGACACGATGGTCCGTGGCTGACTAAGCGATTCAAAGCGCACCGTGAAATGAGGAAAGACATGGCGGCGATCTCATACGATGCTCATTCTTTTTGTTGTCGTCGTTGCTCTTTTGTTGTTTGACGTCTGACGGTATTTGCAACGAGTTCGGGACGGGATATGAAACGGAGATATGACACTTTGTATGAAGAATCGAGATTGGCATGAAGATTCAGACATCATGTTATGTTATGTTATGTTGCAGGTTGAAGGCGCCCGGTCTCAGACATTGCACTGCAGTGTTTTGAATAATTGTTGCGGGCGAGACAGGAGGGCGGTATGTAAAACGTAGAGTATCGTTCGAATGCCCAAACTGTCGTTGTATATTGCTGCTGGTATGCTCGCGGGCGAAGGGCATTGAGCCTGAGAGGATTGTGAGGTCTACGGCCGTCGGCCGCTCGTGCTGTAGCTGGTAGACCCTGTGCACAGTGTTTGCGGACGGTGTAAGGGGCGGTTTGATGGGAGGATTGGGAGTTCGCGAATGGGGCACGACCGCCCCGCGCGGGTTTCTCAGTCAGACATTGTAATTAACCCCGTTCGCTCGTCGTAAAGCTATGTTTTTCTCTGCGTCTAAACGGTGCGTTACAGATCGCTATCATCCAACAGCAGCCAGAGAGCGTCACAGCGTCCGTAATTCGAGTTCGTATCGGACGATTTTCAAGTCGTGCATTCCCGTTCGAGCCAATCCGAATTCGAGCGAGGCAGTCGTGCCACTCCGACCTCGACATCATTTTTATTTTTTCGCGTCTCTTCTTTTTTATCATATATTCCTTTTCGGCACATGCACCCTGGAATCTGTAACAGCCTTGTCCGCTTGCCCCTCGTCCGGTCGTATATATATCGGCTTACACCCGACGAATTGTCCCCTCCCCATCTTTTCCCCTTCCGTCCCCTTCAATATCACAACATCCACAATCAATAGCAATGGCCATCGAAGCTGCCTCCACCTCCGCCGCGCCCTCCGTCTTCGACGTCCAGGCTGAGCGTCCCCGTCCGAAGGATGTCGGTATCCTCGCCATGGACATGTACTTCCCAAAACGCGTACGTGCTTTCTGGCGTCGGTAGCAATGCCTTCTGTGTGCTCATCGTATCTTCATATGGTGGGGAGTACAGTGCATCTCGGAGGAAGACCTCGAGGTGTACGACGGTGTCGCCAAGGGCAAATACACCATCGGTCTCGGACAGTCCTACATGGCTTTCGCGGACGACAGGGAGGATATCAACTCCATCGCCTTGACTGGTGCGTTTTTTTCTTTTCTTTTTCTTTTCTTTTCGCTCATCTAACTATTCGCCGTCCAAACGCTGAACTCTGAACATGGCACACGACATGCAGTCGTCTCATCCCTCATGAAACGCTTCGACATCGACCCGCGCTCCATCGGCCGTCTCGACGTCGGCACCGAAACTATCATCGACAAGTCCAAGTCCGTAAAGACCGTCCTCATGGACCTCTTCAAAGAGTGCGGCAACCACGATATTGAGGGGTTGGACAGCAAGAACGCGTGCTATGGGAGCACCGCTGCGGTTCAGAACGCGACGAACTGGTGCGTTTATCCTTTCCTCTCCTTCCCTTGCCTTTACGTGTGGAATTCTGATGCGGGTTGGTGGTGCGCAGGATCGAGTCGCGCTCGTGGGACGGCCGCAATGCGATCGTCTTCGCTGGTGATATCGCGGTCTACGCAGAGGGCGGAGCCAGGCCCGTCGGTGGTGCCGGCGCCTGCGCCATCCTCATCGGCCCCAACGCCCCTCTCGTCTTCGAACGTACGTTCTCATCTCTTCATCTCTTCAGGTATAACAAGCTAACCTTCCTCCTCGCTTGCAAAATAGCCATCCACGGAACCTACATGGCCAACACCTACGACTTCTACAAGCCGAACCTCACCTCCGAATACCCCACCGTCGACGGCCCCCTCTCCGTCTCCACCTACATCCAAGCAATGGACGCCGCCTACTCCTCCTTCCGCTCCAAGGTCGCCTCCGGCACCAAAGCCCTCAACCCATCCGCCATCCCCTCCTCCACCGAATCGGGCAAGAAAGTCGACGAGAAGTCGGTATTCTCGCTCGCGGATGTCGATTATCCGGTGTATCACAGCCCGTACGGGAAGCAGGTGCAGAAGGGCCATGCTCGGCTATTGTTCATGGATTATCTGAGCGCACCGTCCAAGCCCGAGTTCGCGAACATCGATGCGGGATTCCTCGATATTCCGTACCCGAAGACGCTCGGCTCAAAAGAAGTCGAGAAGGCGTTCATGGCGCTTTCGAAATCGGATTATGCTTCTAGAGTTGCGCCGTCCATGCGCTGTGCGTCGAGGTGCGGGAATATGTATACGGCGTCGTTGTATGGCGGGCTAGCGAGTCTGTTGAGTACGGTGGATGGCGAGACGTTGAAGGGGAAGAGGATCAGTATGTTTGCGTTTGGGAGTGGGTGTGCGAGTACGTTTTGGACGATTAGGGTTAAGGGGGACGTCAGTGAGATCGCGAAGAAGATGGATTTGTTGAAGAGGTTGGAGAGTATGGAGGTCGTGAGCTGTGATGAGTATACGAAGGGGCTTCAGGTATGTTCTCTTTTATCTTTTCTGCACGTTTTCAGTGTTCGGTTACTGAGTAGTGGCGTTGGGCTTTGTAGCTCAGGGAGGAGAACCATAACGCGGCGCCATACCAGCCCCAGGGCGACATCAAGAATATCTGGCCCGGCGCGTTCTACCTCGACAACATCGACAGCATGTTCAGGAGGAAATACATCCAGGCTTAACTTAAGTTTCTTCTCCCTCTCGCATCCCTGCTCCATCTTCCTTCGTTCCATGTCTGCCCGTCTTCGGTCCCGGTCGCTTTACATTTAGAATGCATTCACCTACCTACCTACCTGCATACATACACAACTACCATTCATCCCCTCATCCCTTCATCCCTTCACCTTCGCCCCACACAATCCTCGTCCTCGTTCGGATCCCTCTTAAGCTTATGCTATGCTCTCTCGCGTCCGCCTCTGTCTTATGTACGTATGTCATATCTGCTCCGTAGTTCATAACTTCATACCTATCCCCCGCCTTTTCTCTTTATGTGTCGGTTTTGAGTATTTAAGGGGATGGAATGAGAAAATTAGAATTAGAAGTTCGAATCACTGATTTTGGTTTGCGGCTTGAGCTTGGGGTGGACGATTTGTCCCATGCCAGTACTAGTGTAGGCATGATCGTTTGTTAGGTTGACCGTTGTGTGCGCAAGTCCCTGTGGGTGGAATCGTTGGGGGTTGTAGGGGGTAGGATCGCGAAACTGGAACTTCGAAGAAATTATCGCTGTCCTCAGTTTGTTGAAGGAGTGGTTGGATGGTGGAAGAACTCGGAAGGCACTACGCCACCGCCACCCACCTAGACCCCCGGATTTTGCCGGACTCGGACTTTCGCAAGTTGAAGTTAACAAAGAGTTGACAAGCATAAAACACAACACCCATCCATTCAATCGTCTTGTGAAGCTACGACCTACGACCGTGGCATCCTGCTCAGCTCACTCAGATCTCTAGGCTGTTCTGCGCTTGGTTAACCGTTACATCTGGAGTTCCTGCAGCCCCTCTGCCAGGCTTGCCTGCTTCGAATTCCTAGACCGTCCTCCCATACTGAGTCGCGTCCGAGTCCACGGCTTGAAGCTTGGAGAAAATGAATCCGCTTGTTTCTGGCCAAAGTTGCCG